TGTAATCCTAGCACTTTGGGATGCTGAGGTGGGCGGATCACGAGACCAGGAGATCCAGACCATTCTGGCTAACACAGTGAAACCTTGTCTCTACTAAAAATACAAAAAATTAGCCGGGCCTGGTGGCAGACGCCTGTAGTCCCAGCTACTGGGGAGGCTGAGGCGGGAGAATGGCGTGAACCCGGGAGGCAGAGCTTGCAGTGAGCCGAGATCGCGCTACTGCGCTCCAGCCTGGGCAACAGAGCAAGACTCCATCTCTGCTAGCTTATTTACATCAGTAACTTGAAATGCAAATGGCTTACATCAAATCTATAGCTCCACTCCAGACCCCTGTCCGCAGTTCCTGACCCTACTTGGCATCTCTGCTTAGCTCTCTCATAGATACTGAACTCACCTTCTACCTGGTTTTGCAAGCCTGCCTCATTTAGCTTTCCATCTCCATTAGTGGCTCCACAATTCATCCAATCTTTAAAGCCAGAAACTTCTGAAGTTATTCTAAACTCTTCTTCCTTAGCTTCCACACCAATTACTAATCACACAATCCTAATGGATCTTTCCTCAGATGTCTAAATAAATAACTCAGATCCATCCCCCGTTTCTCCTTTCTCACAGGTGCTTTCTTAGTTCAGAATTTTGTTGCTTTATACCTGCATTGCTGCAACAGCCTCCTACTTTCCTTGCCTCTACTATGAGTATCTCTCATTCTGTCTTTCAAAAACACTGATCTGAAAATTCCTCTTCTGTATAAAATTAACAATTCCTTGTAGCTAGTAGAATACAGTTTTGTATGGTACATCGTTAGCAGAGCCTTCTAAGCTGTTCATCTTGGCCCTGCCTGTCTTTCTGAACATGTGTCCTACAAATTTCCCAAATGTCCTACTCAACTCTAGCTGCACTGAACTATTTCCTGTTCTCTGTCATAGCATGTAACAGATCCTTCCATCTAAAATGCCCTTCTTTAATGCTTCTTTGATCTAATGCCTCTTGAGATTTCAAAATTTAACATGTCATCTCTCAGAACACTTCTATGCCTTTGCTCCCACTCATGGACCACCAGTGAATGCACTCTGTATAGTACGTCTGCTAGAACGCATGATGTTGTTTTCAGCTGCCTCAGACTACACTGTCTACTCCTTGAGAACAGGGACTGTATCTTTCATGTATGAATGCCTAGCACTTCGTATACTGTGTGACCTTCTCAGCAACCTTTCAGTAAACCATTGAAAGTTTTCCCGATAGGAGATTGTGTGATTCTTAAAATCCACCTGAATGTAAAATGTCTTTACACTATCCTTTCTTTGTCTGCTTTCTTATCCTTATGGCTCATTAGCTCCTTGTTATACATTGTATACACTAGGAAAAATGAGATTAAAATTGAACCCATCATTTTTGTTGCTTGGGAACAGCTCTTGAAAAGATAGGCTTATAGATTAGTTTAAAAATGTCAGATGCTAAAATTTCCTTGCTTGTAAAGGTTCTTACTAAAGTTCATCGCACCGGAATTATGTTGATTCCCTGATTGAAGGAATCCCCTTACGGGATTCCTAAAGAGAGCAGGAGATGAACTTCAAGTAAATTAGTACCTTAGTCATTCTCACTGTTAGAGAAGGAGGTCCAAAATGAGTAAAGACAGTTTCTATCTGGAGTTAAGGGTCTAAGTGGAGATTGACGTGGTGTAATTCAAGTTTAATACTAAGCAGGCTGGGCGCTGTGGTTCATGCCTGTAATCCCAGCACTTTGGGAGGCCAAGGTGGGTGGATTGATTGAGTTCAGGAGTTCAAGACCATCCTGGCTAACATAACGAAACCCCATCTCTGCTAAAAATACAAAAAATTAGCTGAGCCTGGTGGCACACACCTGTAATCCCAGCTACTCGGGAGGCTGAGACAAGAGAATCACTTGAACCAAAGAGGCAGAGTTTGCAGTGAGCCAAGGTTGTACCCCTACACTCCAGCCCGGGTGACAGAGTGAAACTCTGTCTCCCAAAAAACAAACCAAAAAAACACCTTAATACTAAGCAAACAACTAAGTGCTGTGTATAATAGCAGTTGAACAAAACCTATAAAGTATATATAGACAAGGGCATAGAGCAGTGTGTTTCTGATCTCTTTGACAATGTTACTATAATAAACAGCTTTTGGAATTTTTTTCCACCCTGGCTTTAAAGCTAGTGGAAATTAAAATTAAACATTTTAATTTTTCTTACTAATGGTAAACAAAATAAAAATCAAATAACTGCTGTTAAACATTGTGATAAACAGCCTATCAGCTATCTCTGTATACATAACTCATGGGTTTTACATAAATTAAATCATACTACCCACCTTGTTTTATGCCCTTATTTTACTCAATGTGTAATGGATACTTTTTCATAAATGTAAATAGTAATTAAAATGGGTCATGTCTGTTAATTTCAGCACTTTGGGAGACTGAAGTAGGAGGACTGCTTCAGGCCAGGATTTTGAGACCAGCCTAGGCAACATAGTGAGACCACAAAAAATTAAAATAAAAACCCAGGCATGGTGGCTCATGTTGTAGTCCCAGCTAGTCAGGAGGCTGAGGTGGGAGGATCCCTTGAGCCCAGGAGTTCATGGCTGCAGTGAGCTGCAATCAGACCACTGTACTGCATCCTGAGTGACAGCAAGAACTTGTCGCAAAAAAAATTTTTTTTTAAAACTCAGAGTGCATTTTCCTTTGAGCAACTGCATTTTAAAACTTGTTCCTAAGGAAATAATTGAAGGTGTGCACAAAGATGTAGCTATAATGATGTGTTTTGTAACATTGTGTTATTAGTATTACACTGTAAAGTAGTGAAGAAATAGATATCTATTGACATTAAACAATATCACAGTATATCATTAGATGAAGAAATCAGTAACTAAAATAGTATGTATAGTATGGTTTCAATTTTTAATTTGTGTGTATGTGTACACACATATGCATAGAAGTAGCAAAAAACAACAAAACTACGTATCTGGGAGAGGAAATTTCAGGTAATTTTAAATTTTGTTCTTTTTTGCTTTCTACTTTTCTGTAAAACTTAGGTAAATTGTGTCATTAAAAAGGGTTTTTGGGGGCCAGGTGAAGGGACTCATTCCTGTAATCCCAGCACTTGGGGAGGCTGAGGCGGGTAGATCACTTGAGGCGAGGAGTTCCAGACCAGCCTGGCCAGCATAGCGAAACCCCATCTCTACTAAAAATATAAAATATTGGCTGGACGTGGTGGTGCACACTTGTAATCCCAGCTACCCAGGAGGCTGAGGCATGAGAATCACTAGAACCCAGGAGACAGAGGTTGCAGTGAGCTGAGATTGGGCCACTGCACTCCAGCCTGGGCGACAGATTGAGACTGTCTCAAAAAACAAAAAAAAAAATGTTTTTTGGGCCAGGTACAATGGCTCATGCTTGTAATCCCAGCACTTAGGGAGGCAGAGGCGAGAGGGGGTCTTGAGGCTAGGAGTTTGAGACCAGCCTGGGCAACATCACAAGACCCTGTTCCTTTAAAAAAAAAAAAAAAAAAAAAAAGGTTTTTGGAGCCAAGACTAATGTAAGGTATTGTTTGTAAAATGATTTTATCAATACACAAGAAATTTCTTTGTAATTCCTAACCACAGGCTAACTGAATACTTCAGGCAACATGTCAGTGAATCATAGTTTCTTCCTGGATAGTGTTTCTGTTGGGCATTTGTTCAATAAATACATGGTTGATAGTACCTTTCCTTCAGGCATGAATACATAGATACTGTCTACAAATAACTGATCTTTTAAGTTTTGATTCTTTGATTCTTCCAGATGTCATTACCTGAGGATAACCTCTAGTTTTTGGGGAGTCTTGGCTGATAGCACCTCAGTCTTTCATATAAGGATGAAGATATTCAGTCTTTTTATATCTCCAATGACCTAGCACATATCAGATTCCCCAAAATATTTTTTTATGAGTATTTTTGTCAGCTTAATAAGATGTTAATTAGCAGGAAAATCCTTTTAGAGGGGATGATATTAAATACTGCATTCCGGTTTACATTGAGTCCCCAATAAAATTAAAACAATTCCTTCAGTGTTTTAGAAAATATAATCATTTGTTGAGGCTAGCATGGTGTGTATCTGAAATACAATGTCAACGTTTGTGGTTTTTGTTTTTGTTTTTGTTTTTTTAAGAGACAGGATTTCACTATGTTGCCCAGGCTGGAATACAGTGGCTATTCACAGGCAGGATCATAGCACACTGTAACCTTGAACTCCTGGGCTCAAGCAGTTTCCCTGCCTCAGCTTCCTGAATAGCTGGGCTGGAAATGAATCTCTTAATGAGATGGATGGGATTTTCTTTTCTTTTTTTTTTTGTTTTGTTTTGTTTTCTTTTCTTTTCTTTCCTTTCTTAGTATAAAAAGAGACAGTCTCTTTCTGTCACCCAGGCTTGAGTGCAGTGGCGTGATCATAGCTCAGTGTAATCTGGAACTCCTGGGTTCAAGTAGTCCTCCTGCCTAAGCCTCCCAAATAGTTGGCATTACTGGCCTGGGCCACTCTCCTGACTACAATGTTATAGTTTTAATTGAGAAGCTAAAGTTTAAAATAAAATTTTAGGTGGAGGTTGGAAGAGACATACAACTCAGTGGGGCTATACACTTTTTTTTTTTCCTTTTCTTTTCTTTTCTTTTTTTTTTTGAGACGGAGTCTCGCTCTGTCGCCTGTGCTGCAGTGCAGTGGAGCGATCTCAACTCACTGCAACCTCCACTTCTCGGATTCAAGTGATTCTTCTGCCTCTGCCTCCCAAGTAGCTGGGACCACAGGTGTGTGCCACCACGCCTGGCCATTTTTTGTATTTTTAGTAGAGAAGGGGTTTCACCATATTGTCCAGGCTGGTCTCCAACTCCTGACCTCATGATCTGCCTGCCTTGGCCTCCCAAAGTGCTGGGATTACAGGCGTGACCCACTGTGCCTGGCCCTTGGGGCTATACACTTTTTAAAGTTAAATTTATATTTGTGTATCTTATTCCTAACAGGTCAGTCATTGGCACCATGAACTGGAATAAAGGTGGTCCTGGCACTAAGCGAGGATTTGGCTTTGGAGGTTTCGCCATCAGTGCCGGGAAAAAGGAGGAACCCAAACTCCCACAGCAGTCCCACAGTGCCTTTGGGGCAACCAGCTCTTCTTCTGGATTTGGAAAGTCAGCTCCACCACAGCTTCCTTCTTTCTACAAAATTGGATCTAAGCGGGCCAACTTTGATGAAGAAAATGCGTAAGTGGTAATTCCTGGTGGTGTAGCAAAGTTTGGGCTTTGAGATATTCATTCTATCAGCAGAAATTGAGGCAAAGAAACTTTGTTTCTCAAATAATAATGACTTCTTAAGTTATGTGTCTTGCTGAATTCCATGGTTCCTAATAAGTTAAATTATTGGGTTTACTCATTTGTAAGGAATGTAATACCTGTGGGGTTACTTATACCTTTACTCATTCGGTGTTACGTCCTACTGGGCTGTTGCTCAATGTGGTATTAGAAGCCATTGAAACAGGCCAGGCATGGTGGCTCACACCTGTAATCCCAGCACTCTGGGAGGACGAGATGGGTGGATCATCTGACGTCAGGAGTTCGAGAACAGCCTGGCCAATATGGTAAAACCCTGTCTCTGCTAAAAATACAAAACATTAGCCAGGCATGGTGGTGGTGCACGCCTGTAATCCCATCTACTCAGGAGGAGGCTGAGGCAGGAGAATCGCTTGAACCCGGGAGGCACAGGTTGCATTGAGCCAAGATGGCGCCGTGGGACTCCAACCTAGGTGACAGAACAAGACTCCGTTTCCAAAAAAAAAAAGGCATTGAAACATAAATATGGCTGGAGAGTTTTATATAATTCATGTGGTTTTTGGTGGTCTCTCTTGTTTTTTTTTTTTGGAGGCAGAGTTTTGTTCTTGTCACCTAGGCTGGAGTGTAATGGTGCAATCTCGGCTCACTGCAACCTCCACCTCCCGAGTTCAAGTGATTCTCCAGCCTCAGCCTCCTGAGTAGGTGGGATTACAGGTATGCACTACCATGCCAGGCTAAGTTTTGTATTATTAGTAGAGACGGGGTTTCAGCATGTTGGCCAGACTGGTCTCTAACTCCTGACCTCCGGTGAACCACCTGCCTTGGCCTCCCAAAGTGCTGGGATTACACGCATGAGCTACTGCGCCGCATGAGCTACTGTGCCTGGTCTAGTGTTCTTTACTGCAGTCTTTTACTGACACCATATAAATTGTTTAGTAAACATAGGCAGTTGTCAAAATTGATGGAAATACAAGTTTGCTTCATCGCCGTGTTAGCCACGAAGGTCTGGATCTCCTGACCTCGTGATCCACCCACCTCAGCCTCCCAAACTGCCGGGATTACAGGCATGAGCCACCGGGCCCGGGCTACATCTAAGTCTTTAAAACTATTATGTTGAAACATCTGATAGTGGTAGAAAAATCTACTCACGTTTTTCCCATAGTTCTCATAATTGGTAAATGCTTTTTACCAATTACCATTTTTAACTTGCTGATATAATAATGTGGTTAGAAAAGGCTGGGATTTGAGGGGTTGAGTTCTAATTTCTATACAAAATACCTCTCTTTGCTGAATCTGAAGAAATCTCTTGTTGCTATTATTTCCAAGCTGATTCTGACACTGCTTCACTGCTTGAGGGTTTTTTTGGTTTGTTTGTTTGTGTTTTTGAGATAGGGTCTCTGTCACCCAGGCTGGAGTGGAGTGGTGCGATCAAGGCTCACTGTAGTCTCGACCTCCCAGGCTAAAGCAGTTAAGCAGTTCTCCCACCTCAGCCTCCTGAGTCACTGAGACCATAGGCACATGCCACCACACCCTGCTAATTTTTTATTCTTTTTTTTCTTCTTCTTTTTTTCCTTTTTTGAGATGGAGTCTTGTTGTGTCACCCAGGCTGGAGTGCAGCGGCGCGATCTTGGCTCACTGCAACCTCCACCTCCCAAGTTCAAGTGATTCTCCTGCCTCAGCCTCCCATGTAGCTGGGATTACAGCTGCCTGTCACCACACCCAGCTGATTTTTGTATTTTTAGTGTAAGCGGGGTTTCACCAGTTTGGCCAGGCTGGTCTCGAACTCCTGACCTCAGATGATCCACCCACCTCAGCCTCCCAGAGTGCTGGAATTAAAGGCCTGAGCCACCACGCCTGGCCAATTTTTTATTCTTTTGTAGAGACAGGGTCTTGCTTTATTGCCCAGTCTGGTCTGAAACTCCTGGGCTCAAGTGATCCTCCCACCTTGGCCTCCCAAAGTGCTGGGATTATAGGCACGAGCCACTGCACCCAGCAGATTTTAATTGGAAAAAAAAGCTTCTAAAAGACTGGAGTTTAATTTTTTTTTTTTTTTTTTTTTTTGAGATAGAGTTTCAGTCTTGTTGCCCAGGCTGGAGTGCAATGGCGTGATCTCAGCTCACCGCAACCTCTGCCTCCTGGGTTCAAGCGATTCTTCTGCCTCAGCCTCCTTAGTAGCTGGAATTGCAGACATGCGCTACCATGCCTGGCTAATTTTGTATTTTTAGTAGAGACGGGGATTCTCTGTGTTGGCCAGGCTGGTTTCAAACTCTCGACCTCAGGTGATCTGCCCACCTCGGCCTCCCAAAGTGCTGGGATTACAGGTGTGAGCCACTGCATCTGGTCAAAATATTTTGAAAGTACACAGCAGCATTTTAGAAAGCTGACATGTTATTTAGGAGTCAAATGGACAAGTAGTGTTTAACTTTTAGCAAAGTCAGAAATTACTCTAAACAGCAGTTAACCAGTTCAGACTACTTTTTCATTAGTTAAATAGAACACACTATATACAGGGGACTGAGGTGGAAAGACCACTTGAGCCTAGGAGTCTGAGGCTGCAGATAGCTGTGTTTGCATCACTGCACATCAGCCTGTATGACAGTGTGAGACTGTCTCTAAGAAAACAACCAACCAAAAACCTACTATATGAATGAATATGCATGAGTAATATGTGTATATGTGTATGCTATATATTGACGCATATATATTACGTTGTATAGTATATAGTGTGAATATGCTGTTGCTACATTAGTGTACATAACAGTTACTATATAAAGGAGTTTGCATAAACATATTTACTATATATTTTAGACGAGGCACAGTGGCTCACGTCTGTAATCCCGGCACTTTGGGAGGCCGAGGTGGGTCTATCACTTGAGGTCAGAAGTTTGAGACCAGCCTGGGCAACATAGTGAAACCCCGTCTCTACTAAAAATACAAAAATTGGTCCAGGCATGGTAGCTCACGCCTGTAATCCCAGCACTTTGGAAGGCCGAGGCAGGCAGGTTGCCTGAGGTCAGGAATTTGAGACCAGCCTGGCCAACATGGCGAAACCCCATCTCTACTAAAAATACAAAAATTAGCTGGGCGTGGTGGCAGTGCATATAATCCCAGCTACTTGGGAGGCCGAGGCAGGAGAATCACTGGAACCCAGGAGTCAGAGGCTGCAGTGTGAGTTGAGATCATGCCAGTGCACTCCAGCCTGGGCGACAGAGCAAGACTCCATCTCAAAAACAAAAAGACCACAAAAATTAACTGGGTGTGGTGGCGTGCACCTGTAATGCCAGCTACTTGGGAGGCTGAGGCAGGAGAATTGCTTGAACCTGAATGGCGGAGGTCGCAGTGAGTGCAGAGATCACACTGCTGCAAATGCAGCCTGGGTGATAGGGCGAGGCTGTCTCAAAAACAAAAAAGTATATTAGTCTATATTATTGTTACATATAGTCACAGTATTACATTAGTGTGTGTATATGTGTGTGTGTGTGTGTGTGTGTGTGTGTGTGTAGCATAACAGTTTAAGTTTTTAAAATAATTCCTAGGAAGATTTGAAATGCTTTAACTTTTTAAACTGCAGTTATTTATTTAAACTAATATTTGGTTATATTACTATTTGATTTTGAGATAGAGTCTGAACAATGGTTTAGTTTATAAAGAGCTGTATTGGCATCCTTTTCTGGAATGTTTGTTAAAGAGAAAGTGATACCTTATGCAGCCTTTAAAAATGTCCTTTCTGAATACTTAAGTAGTATCGTAAATTATTTTGGATTGAGCATGTATTTTCTTTTTTTTCCTTGTTTTTTGAGACAGAGTCTTGCTCTGTCGCCCAGGCTGGAGTGCCGTGGCACAATCTCAGCTCACTACAACCCCCACCTCCTGGGTTCAAGCAATTCTCCTGCCTCAGCCTCCCAAGTAGCTGGAATTACAGGCATGTGCCACCATGCCTGGCTAATTTTTTATTTTTAGTAGACACAGGGTTTCACCATGTTGGCCAGGTTGGTCTCAAACTCTTGACGTCAAGTAATCCACCTGTCTTGGCCTCCCAAAGTGCTGGGATTAGAGGTGTGAGCCACCACACCTGGCCTGAGCATTTATTTTCAATTCTGGAAGTTTTCTGTTGGTCCCCAGAAAATAGCCCAGAATTTCTGAGGTTTTTGGTCTTTAAAAGAATATCTCAAGTTTTTATTAAGGGTTATAAAGAATAAACAATTTCTAATGTTTCATTAAGTTTCCTTTTGGCTGTGCGCGGTGGCTCTCGCCTGTAATCTCAGCACTTTGGAGGCTGAGGCGGGCAGATCATGTAAGGGGTTCAAGACCAGCCTGGCCAACATGGTGAAACCCCTGTCTCTAGTAAAAATACAAAAATTAGCCAGGCATGGTGGCAGGTGTCTGTGATCCCAGCTACTAGGGAGGGCTAGGCAGGAGAATCACTTGAAACCAGAAGGTGGAGGGTGCAGGGAGCCGAGATTATGCCATTGCACTCCAGCATGGGTGACAAGCAAAACTCCATCTCAAAAAAAAAAAAAAAAAAGTTTTCTTTTTTCCCATAGCACAGCTCTTTAATATTTGTTATATTTGTCTAACAATGATCAGTAAGTTTGTACTGAAAACTCTTCTGTTTTAACAGAACTGGGAGTATGATTTGACCATATACTATTGAAATGGAGAATCTCTTGTGATTACTTTTTTGTAATATTGAAATTTTGCATGTATTAAGTAGTACTTAATTAGGTCATTAGCCAAAGCCTTGGAGGTCTTTAATTTGATCTACATTAAATCTCCTAATAGTAAGATATACTATAATAAAAATTTTGTTAAATGAAAGATTTACTGACCCCAAAGTAAACATTCACTTTACCAGTTTGCATTCTGATTCTCAGCTATTTTGAAGATGAGGAAGAAGACTCTAGCAATGTTGATTTACCTTACATTCCTGCTGAAAACTCACCAACTCGCCAGCAATTCCATTCCAAGCCAGTAGATTCTGACAGTGATGATGATCCCTTGGAGGCATTCATGGCTGAAGTGGAGGCAAGTATCAGCATGTTTCATTAAAATATTTAGCAGTTAGAAATAGATCAAGCTAACTTAGTACTTCAAATCTTACTCAAAATTTGTTTTCTGGTCTTTTTTTTTGTTGTAGTTTTTGAGAATTTTGCTCCAGTAGTTGATAGTTGCATATATCTACTTCCACTTGCCCTGTACTTTTGCGATGGTTGGTGGCTAGAAATTTGAACGTAACCCATGAACATGGTAGCTTTAGACGTATATGTGTGTATGTGTTTTATTTTAATAATCTTAGCATATTTTTGAATGGAATTAACATCTCATTCAATCTAGCATTTGTTAAGTACATATTTATGTAAAGTAATTAAACTTAAGGAACTTGCCAAAATTGTAAATTCTGTATTCTGTAGTTTTAAATGTTATTTATCAACATCCATGACCTCCCTGTAGAAATTTAACCTCATGACCACCTCCTTGAAACCCTTCTCACTAGGCTTTTGTGATTTTGTGTTACTTTCCTTTTTCATCTTTCTGACTTTTTTCTTTCGGTTTGTTTTTGTTTTATTATTATTTACTTTTTATTGTGGAAAAATTTAAACACATACAAAGATAGAATAATAAAATGAGCCTTCATGTACCTTCAACGAACTTTATTAGTTAACAACTTTTGGCCGCTTTTGTGTTATCTAATCTCTCCCACCACCGATTCTTTTCTTTTCTTTTCTTTCTTTTTTCTTTTTTGAGACAAAGTCTTGCTCTGATGTGGGCTGGCTAGAGTGTAGTGGTATGATCATGGCTTACTGCAGCCTCACACTCCTGACCTCAAATGGTCCTCCTGCCTCAGCCTCCTGAATTGCTGAGTTTACAGGTGTGCACCAACATACCCAGCTAATTTTTAAAGTTTTTATAGAGGTAAGGTCTTGCTTTGTTACCCAGATTGGTTTTGAACTTCTAACCTCAAGTGATCCCCTAGCCTCAGCCTCCCAAAGAGCTTGGACCATAGGCATAAGCCACTGTGCCAAATCCAATTCTGTTTTGGATTATTTAAAAATCTCAGACATACAATTTTATCCATCAGTATTTCTCTGAGAACACTCTTAAAAATTGCAACCACCATGTTATTGTTGCACCCAAAAAAACAAATCATTAAATATCCATCTGACTGTTATTTGTGATCCTTCTTGCCATCCTCCTCCAATTTTTCACATACAGAGGTCACTTTACAGCTCTCTATATTGATTACTGTATATAAGATTACTATCTTCGTTCTAGATGTGTATAAGAGATATATAAGATTACTATCTTCGTTCTTTATATATTCTTTGGTGACCTCATTTACTTTTAAAACTTTTCTGTGCATAATTTACGTTTTGAGTCCCATCTTTCGCTTTGATTTTGGTCCTGCTTTTCCAGAATTGTATTGGACTTTTTTACATGTGTCCCACTGGTACCTTAAACTCTATTCATCATCTTTTCCTCCTCAACAAGTCATTCTCTTATTTCTATGAATGACATTAATGGTCACATAGTCAACCTTAGCTTAAAACTGGCTTTAATTTCTTCCTTCACCACTGCCTCTTCATTTTTTTAGCAGATTATCAGGAATGCTTATTATTTAATTTAATCCTCAAAATAATCGTGGGAAATAGGCAGAAAAATGTATATATAAATAAAAATATTTAACTGATAATAAAACTGAGCCCTAAGTTAATTCAAATCGTTTGCCCCAAATCATATTGGTACTTAATGTGGCAGACCTGGAACTCAAATCTAATTTCTCTTGCTTAGTAGTCCTGAAGGTCTAGCTCTTTCCCATACATCATGCTGCCTTTCCTCTTCTCATTTGCCAAAATCTGTCCATCTTTATAATAGCTCTTGCATCTGTTCTTTCCTTTCTGTTGCCACTGTAGCCATCCTACTTTACATCCTTGTAAATTTTCTCCCTGCTTTAGTCTTTCTGCTGTCTTATTAGGTAGTATACAGCTGCAGGTTAATTAGACCAAAATATGTTTCTTTTCATAGTATTCTCCTTACTTAAAAACTGTCACTTTAGATGACTGGACATGGTGGCTCATACCTATAACCCCAGCATTTCGGGAGTCCCTTGAGTTCAGGAGTTCAAAACCAGCCTAGGCAGCATAGCAAGTGCCTGTCTCTACAAAAAATAAAATTCAGCCAGGTTTGGTGGCATGCTGCTGTAGTCCCAGCTGTTTGGGAGGCTGAGGTTGTAGTGAGCCATGATCTTGCCACTACTCAGCCTGGATGACAAGGTGAGACCCTTTCTCAAGAACAAAATGAAACCAAAAACTATCACTTTAGACTATGTGCCATAGCTCACACCTGTAACCCCCGGCATTTTGCGGGGCCAAGGTGGGAAAATCGCTTGAGGTTGGGCAGCATAGTGAGACCCTGTCTGTAAAAAAAGGAAAGAAAAAAAAATTGGCCGGGCATGGTGGCTCACGTTTGTAATCCCAGCACTTTGGGAGGCCAAGGTGAGTGGATCAGGATTTTGAGACCAGCCTGGCCAACATGGTGAAACCCCATCTCTACTAAAAATACAAAAAAAATTAGCTAGGCATGGTGGTGCACACCTGTAATCCCTGCTACTCGGGAGGCTGAGGCAGGAGAATCACTTGAACCTGGGAGGCAGAGGTTATAGTGAGCTGAGATGGCGCCATTGCACTCCAGCCTGGCAACAGAGTGAGACTCCATCTCAAAAAAAAAAAAAAGAAAAGAAAAGAAAAATTGTCACTTAATTGGTTATGAAATAAAATCCTTTCAGATTCCTTAGTTACTTGTCCTCAGCCAGAATACACCTCTCCTCCAAGGAAGCAGGGAAAGAAATAATCCAAGATTATTGTGTTTTTGTTTGGCCTAGACATTGCTTTTTTAAAATGTGAGCCAACATTTTTAGTATTGGGATTTTGTCTAATAGTCCAGGCTGTTGAACAATGGACGATCTGGCAGTATACTAAGCCTGTGTTTTTGTGTGGCAGAAAGAGGCTATTGCTGAGCAAATGGCTGCCTACATTAGACAAGTCATGCTTTTCCTTGCTCACCATAGTTACATCAATCCCTGTTTTCTTCTTAACGTTGAGGCCACTGTTTATAGAACCATTTGTCATTTCTCTTGCACTGTAATTTTTCTTTTCTTTTGAGACAGCATCTCTTGCCCAAGCCAGAGTGCACCATCACAGTTCACCGTAACCTCAAATTCCTAGGCTCAAGCGATCCTCCCGCTTCAGCCTCCTAAGTAGCTGGAACTACAGGTGCATGCCACCACACTCGGCTAATTTTTAGAAAATGTTTTTTCCTGGGCTATTCTCAAACTCCAAGCCTCAGGCAATCCTTCAACCTTGGCCTCTCAAAGTGCTGGAATTGTAGGTGTGGGTCTGTGCCCAGCCTCTGTATTGTAATTTTTCTTAGGGTGGAGAATTATGTTTCCGAACTTAGTTCTCTATCAGATATCAGAAAACAAAAGACTCAGGGTAATATAAGAAAAATTAGAGTACATTTCTGTAGAAGAATATGGCTACTTATTTATTTCCAGTTTGGTCTTTGAATTTCCCGTCTGATTTACAACAACTTAAGTTACTTACTGAAGAATATACACCTAATAGGTGGCAGAGCCAAAGTTCACCTCCAAACACCATATTCCTTATGCAGTATCATTCTGTATCTGAGTTCTTACAGTGTTGTATATTTCTGCCACTTACCAAACTATACAGGATACTTACCAAACACCCAGACTATTCAGGGCGTATATGTGTCTTGCAGCATAGTAGGTATTTAGTTAATATGTTAAGTGAATTGAGGTCAGTAGATCGAGACCATCCTGGCTAACAAGGTGAAACCCCATCTCTACTAAAAATAAAAAAAATTAGCCGGGTGTGGTGGCATGCGCCTGTAGTCCCAGCTACTCGGGAGGGCGAGACAGGAGGATCGCTTGAACCCAGGAGGCGGAGGTTGCAGTGAGCCGAGATCACGCCACTGCACTCCAGCTTGGGCGACAGAGTGAGACTCAATCTCAAAAAAAAACCAACAAAAAACTGTTAAGTGATTTACCCTAGGAGTAAAGGCAGTAAATGAATTGTCATCTTTGAGATGTGTGGTATGCGTTGTTTTCTTCTTCATCTTCTGAGATACGGAGATTTCCTAATGGGCTACGTTTCCCAGAGAATCGGGGCTGATTATTTCTTGAGGGATCCCTAGTGATGAATTAAAAAAAAAATTAGCTCTTGATTTTCCAGTTTTAAATGTAGATTTATGGTAGTACAAACTGGCATAGCCCTTTCTGAGTGAGAGTATCCAAGAATGGGCTAAATTATTTTGCTTGGCGTTTTTTTTTGTTTGTTTGTTTTTGGTTTTTTGGGGGATAGAGTTTCGCCCTTGTTGCCCAGGCTAGAGTGCAATGGCACAATCTCAGCTCACCACACCTTCCGCCTCCTGGGTTCAAGCGATTCTCCTGCTTCAGCTTCCTGAGTAGCTGGGATTACAGGCATGTACCACCATACCCGGCTAATTTTGTATTTTTGGTAGAGACGGGGTTTCTCCATGTTGGTCAGGCTGCTCTTGAACTCCCGACCTCAGGTGATCTGCCCGCCTTGGCCTCCCAAGTTGGTGGGATTACGGGCGTGAGCCACCGCACCCAGCCCAGATGTCAAATTTTATAGAAAGTATTAACTTTTCTAGTGCTTGAACTAGATGAAAATTTATTTTTAGCCAGTGTTCTGAAAAAGGATTTATGTAGGCTTAAACAATATGTTCTTCCACTGTTGGTGACCTGTTTCTTATGTTGCATTGCTTATGTCATCTTCAGTTTATAGTCTTAAATATATCTTATAGCTAGTTCAGTCCTCTGAAAAGTAGGTTGTTTGTATGCAGTGCTTCTCTTTGAAACAATTTATCTTCATCAGGAACATTTGGTTTGATAGAACACCTTATCATGCCACAGTATGTATAGTGGCATTTAAAAAAATCTGAGATTGCCGGAAAAACTCATGGTGCTTTTATAGTGAGGAAAAGTTGTGTAGAATGTGAGAAAAATCATTTAATTCTTCTGACCGTGATTTTCAAATGTATAATACAAACGATTAATTTTGATCAGTGATCATCAATTTGCGGTATATAAAAATTGCCTAGGCCGGACACGGTGGCTCACGCCTGTAATCCCAGCACTTTGGGAGGCAAAGCAGGTGGATCACCTGAGGTCAGGAGTTCGAGACCATCCTGACCAACATGGAGAAACCCCATCTCTACCAAAGATACAAAATTAGCCGGGCGTGGTAGTGCATGCCTGTAATCCCAGCTACTCAGGAGGCTGAGGCAGGAGAATCGCTTGAACCTGGGAGGAGGAGGTTGCTGTGAGCCAAGATGGTGCCATTGCACTTCAGCCTGGGCAACGAGAGCGAAACTCTGTCTCAAAAAAAAAAAAAGAATTGCCTATGAAAAATGTAAAAACTACCCACATGTAACTCACTCACTCCAGCCCCAAGGATTCTGATTTGTAGGTGTAGAGCAAAATTTTCAGCCTTGAGACTATTGTCATTTGGCGCTGGATAATTATTTGTTGTGGGGCTGTCCTGTGTATTGTTGTTTAGTAGCCATCCTTGGCCTCTACAAACCAGTACCATCAGCTGTACCACCCCCAAAATTAAAAATGTCTCCAGACATTGCCAGATGTTGCTGAGGGGCAAAATTGTCCCAGATTGAGAGCCACCTTTCCAGAGTCAGATGTTTGTGGTCTTAAGCTACACTTTGAGGAAGGCTTATCTGCCTGAATTGAAAGCACTTTACATCTGTAATTTTATCATTAGCTTAAAGCAACTAAAGGTTATGTATTTGTGAAGCAAGCATTTTTGTTCATTTTTCCATGTGTGGCACATTATTACAGATAAAAATTGTGCAGTCCATATACAGCCAAGTTTATAGAGCATTTAGTTATTTCTCTTTGAAAAATAACTGTCGAAATGCAATTTGATGGCATCAAAATGCACTTGTCAAGCACATAGCTAAAGTTATTATGGCACTTGTTCCAATCTAAAAATTGTTTCTTTCAGTGTTTTTAGTTGATGTCATTCTATACAGCCTTTTGTTTTATTAGGATCAGGCAGCTAGAGACATGAAGAGGCTTGAAGAAAAGGACAAAGAAAGAAAAAACGTAAAGTAAGTTGTTTTCTTCTCCTTCACAAAGGTTACATGAAAACCGCTAAAGTATTGCAAAGCCTATTCCCCCAAAGTTTATAGACAAAAAATACTGAAGTACACTTGTGTACTTTACTTGAAGTTATTCCTGTATCTTGAATACTTTTTTAAGAATAGAGATGGTAACAGTCTTTGCATTTGGAATAATTGAAAAGCATTCAGTTTGGTAGAATAGTATTTGGTCTTTGACTATAAATAGTTGTTTAGTAAGCACAAGGAATGAATTATAGTAGCATTTAGGGGAGCATAATTACTAAAATTTGGGCTCATTGTTCTGAGTTTGTCTCATAATTAATATAAAATAGGTTAATGCCTATATGGTTGATTATGAGAAGTAATGGCAACTGTATCATGAAAACTATGTACAGTTGAACCTTTGAACAACACAGGTTTGACTGCATGAGTCCACTCATGGGGATTTTTTTCAACCAGCACAGATGGAAAAATAATATTACACAGTATAAAAACCTGTGTATAAGGAGGGCTGTAATAATACCTAATTTTATTTAGGGAGTGACATTGTGCTGTAGCAGCCGTAGTCAGAACTTGAAGTACTTTATTTTCTGGGAAAGAGAAGTCTACTCTTTGCCTTGATGAATAAACTCCTAAGGCTTTTTCTGCCAGGCATGGTTGGACTTTTTTCTCCCTGTGCTTGGCCGTCCGTGCTTCAGTCCCTTACCAGGGTTTCTGTTCCGTATGGAAATTTAGCTGTGGTTTTGGTATTCACTGCATGTTGTATCCCCTTCCACCTGCCCTACACTGGTGGTGTTGCTTGCTGGTTGCCTTAGGAATAGCAAGTGCTCTAGGTTAGGTAGAAAGTCTGATTAGAAATAGATGGTTGTGGGAACGGAGCAACCGTATTTTCTCTATAGCTCCTGAGAGATACAGTAAGTGGTGATGATCCCCTTCTCCGTGTGAGCTGTTTAATAAGAGTTTTATTCCCAAACTCATAAAGGAGTTAATGTAGTTTTCTCTTTGTCCCCATCCCTAAGGTAACTGCTTTTGTCTGAAAACCATTTACCCTAGAGCTAGAAATTTTGGGGACAATAAGAAGGTTGGGACCTTTTTTCTAGTGTATGCCAAATCCAATATTTTTTTTTCTTTTTAGTCTGAAATGCTTTTCACAACTGCATTGTTTGTTGTATGGATTCACAAAACTAGGACCATTTGCTATCTGTCTTCAGAAGGTTTTTACGTCTGATATTCTTGTTGGTAACTGCTGTTTCTGGGGGTATCGTATCATCCCATTTAAAATAAATGCAAACTGCAGATTATAGAGTGAAGCTACACATATATATATAATGGGTGGATAGTTTACAGTGTGCTCATTGCTGCTTTGTTATTGTTAGTGTTGAGAGTTCCTGTGCTGTGTGGAATTCAACACTAATCTGCTGTAAGAATGGAGCTGGGTATGTGGAACATTTGCAGGGAAGTTTGTTTCTCCGCTTGTTTTTCCAGGGGTATTCGAGATGACATTGAAGAGGAAGATGACCAAGTGAGTTCCTATGCAGTATTTCTATCTTTTATTTTTATCCACAAAGTCTATACTGAGGACAAGCTAGAGCTTGCCTTCACTCAAAATGGCCATTCCTGACATTCAGCAAGGAATGTCATTTGATTTGCTCCTCTTGTACCTGTGTGACCAATTGGTAATACATAGATTCACATGGCTTTCCCCCATATTGAAGATGGAATTTTTGATCAACTATGACATCCAAAGCAGATACGAGCTTTATTCAGCTTGCTTCTTTTTAAATCCAAAATTAATGTTTATTCTGATAAATCAAGTAGTAGTGTAGTGTGGGACCTATGGATGGCCTCTGGTAACATCTAACCTCTATCTCTTAGAGTCCTGTTTGTGGTTCTTGTATTTCAAGCTGGAACGTTAATGACTGTCCATTAGTCTTTTTTTCCCCATTGTTCAGTTGCGGAGTGATGAGAATCAGAGTGAGTGGTAGCCCTTTCCAGGTTTGTGACCTTTCTAATTAGTGTTAACTTCCAAACTTGGATTGTTAAAGCCACAGCATGTGTTCTATGGCTCTGGGCAGGGTTGGTAGACACCCCACTCCAGGAAGGCTGTGGAACAGACAGATTTATAAGTCTTCTATTAAACAAGTTGCAACATTTAGTAGTACTAACTGTTTAATTCGTTTCTTTTGGTTGTTCTTCTAAATATTGCTATTATTAAAGGAATCATTGCTAGTAAGGGCCTTGCCTTACTTGGTAGGTATTTTAACTGTGCAGTCATCTGGTACACTGTGTGCGCTAATTACAGGAGCAGAAACATTCTCAATTGTACTTGGGTGTGATTATGTTCTTGTGCTTTCCTGCAGGAAGCTTATTTTCGATACATGGCAGAAAACCCAACTGCTGGTATGGTTCAGGAGGAAGAGGAAGACAATCTAGAATATGATAGTGACGGAAATCCAATTGCACCTACCAAAAAAATAATTGATCCTCTTCCCCCCATTGATCATTCAGAGGTATGGTATTTCTTGCTGAATTTTACTCTTGTTTCAAGCTGATACTTTACTTCAGCTTTAACATTTAGATTTTCCCAATACTGGAATACTCTTACATCATGAGCGTATGCATCTTGTCATCTCTACTGGTTGAGCCACAAATTCCATGAGGCTTTATAGCCTATCTTGTTCAAAAGTATAGCCAAATCACTTACATTTGACTTTAGAATTAAAACATTTTTTTTCAAGTAATTATACTTGTTTTCCAGAACCAATACTTACCATCTTTCTCTCTCTCTTTTTCTTTCTCCTTCTTTTTTTCTTTCTTTCTCCCCTTTCCTTCCTTTCCTTCCTTTCTTTCCTTTCTTTCCTTCCTCCCTTCTCTTCCCTTTCCTCCTAACTTTCTTCCTTCCTTCCTTCCTTCCTTCCTTCCTTCCTTCCTTCCTTCCCTTCCTCCCTTCCTTCCTTCCTTCCCTTCTTCCCTCCCTCCCTCCCTCCATTCTGTTCCATTCCGTTCCCTTCCCTGTCCCCCAGGCTGGAGTGCAGTGGCACGATCTCAGCTCACTGCAGTGCTGCCTCCTGGGTTCAAGCAATTCTGCCTGCCTCAGCCTCCCGAGTAATTGGGATTACAGGTGCCCACTACCATGCCTGGCTAATTTTTTAAAAATATTTTTGGTAGAGACGGGGTTTCACCATGTTGGCCAGGCTGGTCTTGAACTCCTGACCTCAGGTGATTCCCCTGCCTCGGCCTCCCAAAGTGCTGGGATTATAGGCGTGAGCCACCACACCTGGCCGTGGCATCTTTCTTTCAAACTGGGAATGCTTGGGGCCTGTGTTTACTCTTTGTTGTTGTTGTTGTTGTTGTTGCTATATTGCCCAGACTGGCCCCAAACTCCTAAACTCAAGCAATCCTTTCACTTCAGCCTCCTGAGTAGCTGGGACTATAGGTGCATGCCGCTGCACCTGGCATGCATTTATTTTTTTGTTTATTTTTTTTCCAGACGGAGTCTCGCAGTGTTACCCAGGCTGGAGTGCAGTGGCTCAGTCTTGGCTCACGGCAGTCTCCGCTTCCTCGGTTAATTTTTAGTAGAGATGGGGTTTTACCGTGTTGACCAGGCTGGTCTCAAACTCCTGACCTCAAGTGATCCACCCACCTCGGCCTCCCAAAGTGCTGGGATTACAGATGTGAGCCACTGTGCCTGGCCACATTTGTTTTTTTAATTGCTATAAATTTTTACTGTTGGTCCCAGATCTGGGGCAGATGAGAGGCTATTTCTTCAAAGTGGAACCAGTAATTACAGGATCCTTAAGGAATGAGGACATCAGTATACCCACTTGAAAAAATATCAGTGTTTCATCCAGGTTAAATATCAGCCGAGATCTCACATATACTAATGATTCTAGATCTAGAGCAGTGGTTCTCAGTGTGGACCAAGAACCCCTTTCAGGGAGCCTACAGAGTCCAAACACTTTTCATTATACCAAGATTATTTTCCTTTGTTACTGCATCAACATTTGCATTGTTGGTGTAAAAGCAGTGATAAGTAAAACTGCTGATGCCTTAGCATGAATCAAGCCAGTGGCACCAAACTGTTCTAGTAGGCATGTTCTCCGTTCTCAGACCATTGCAGTTAAAAAAAAAAAAAAGACCAGTTTCACTCAAGAATGCCCTTATGAAACAGTAAAAATTATTAAAATCATGATCCTAGATCTACATGTCTTTTTATTCTGTGTGATAAAATGGGAAGTACGCATAAAGCATTTCTGTTGCGTACCAAAATATGATAGCCATTTCAAGGAAAAGCACTTAATGTGTTTGAGTTGTAAGGTGAACTAGCCACTTTTTTTCATAGAACACCACTTTCACTGGACAAAATCAATGACACTTCAAGGAAAACAATTGAAAGTGTTTATTACCAATGATAGACATTCACGCTTTCGGCCAGAAGCTCACGCCTAAATTTCAACACTTTGGGAGGCTGAGGTGGGTAGATCACTTGAGCTCAGGAATTTGAGAGAAGCTGGGCAACTTGGTGAAACTCCATCTAAATTTTGTTTTTTAATAACAAAATTCAGGCTGGGTGCGGTGGCTCATGCCTGTAATCCCAGCACTTGGGAGGCCGAGGCGGGTGGATCATCTGAGTTCAGCAGTTCAAGATCAGCCTGACCACCATGGAGAAACCCTGTCTCTACTAAAAATACAAAATTAGCTGGGTATGGTGGCACATGCCTATAATCCCAGCTACTCGGGAGGCTGAGGCAGGAGAGTCACTTGAATCCAGGAGGCAGAGGTTGCAGTGAGCTGAGATCATGCCATTGCACTCCATCCTGGGCAATAAAAGCAAAACTCCATCTCAGAAAAAAAAAAAAAAAAGTCAAGCTTTCAAGCAAAACTTAGAATTTGGAAAACTTATATCTACCACAGTAGGCTTGATAGCTTTTCAGTACTTAAAAGTTGTGACAAAATTGATGGTGATATTAATAACTGATTTTTAATATAATGAAATGTGTTAACATTTGGATGATCTGTATGTAACCTCGGCGAACCAGTGTTTTCCAAATGATCTACATATGACATTACAAAGTCAAGCATGAATGAAAGCTCAACTCAAAATACATGATAGACAAATGGATTATAATGTTACAGAGTGTAAAAACTTCAGTAATATGGTTTCTGATTACACAATGAAAATAACTTTTAGGAAATGACCACTTGTCAAGTTTTAGTGTAAAATAAAAAGTATCTGAAAAGGGCTGGATGCAGTGGCTCATGCCTATAATAATTCCAGCACTTTGGGAGGCCAAGGCGGGCAGATCACTTGAGGGCAGGAGTTCGAGACCAGCCTGGCCAACATGGTGAAACCCCGTCTTTGGGATTGGTGGCAGGCATCAGTAATTCCAGCTACTCGGGAGGCTGAGGCAGGGGAATCACTTAAATCTTGGAGGAGGAGGTTGCAGTGAGCTGAGGTCGTGCCAGTGCACTCCAGCCTGAGCGACAGAGGAGACTCTTATCTCAAAAAAAAAAAAAAGAAAAGTATCTGAAAAGGCTACTAAAATACTCTCCTCCCTTTTTCAACTACGTATTTTTTCTTTTCTTTCTTTGAGATGGAGTCCTGCTCTGTCACCCAGGCTGGAGTGCGGTGACGCGACCTTGGCTCACTGCAACCTCCTCCTCCTCCCAGGTTCAAGGAATTCTCCTGCCTCAGCCTCCCGAGTAGCTGGGACTACAGGCGTGTGCCACTCTGCCCGGCTAATTTTTGTATTTTTGGTAGAGATGGGCTTTCACCATGTTGGCCAGGCTGGTCTCGAACTCCTGACCTCAAGTGACCCATCTGCCTCAGTTTCCCAGAGTGCTGGGATAACGGGTATGAGCCACTGCTCCTGGCCTGGAGGCCAGATTTTCTTATAGGCTTAAATAAAACCAAGCTATTGCAACAATTTGAATATTGTATGAGCTATTTAAGTTAGACATTAATAAAGAGATTTGTGAAAATACAAGACAGTGTCACTCTTCTTGCCAATTTTTTTTATGTATCCAGAATTATGATTTTTTTTTAACTGCCTATAGAATGCTTATATTTTTCTTAAAAAAGAAGTTTAAGAGCCAGGCATGGTGGCGCATGCTTGGAGTCCCAGTTACTGGAGAGGCTGAGGCAGGAGAATCACTGGAGCCCAGGAGTCTAGCCTGGGCAACATAGCAAGACCCTGTCACTGAAAAAAAAATTTTTTTTATAAAAAATAATTTAGCCAAATTGATAGGTGGTGGTGTGCTTATGTTTTGTATACCTAGTACAGTAAGCTATGAAAAGAATAATAGAAGTGACTACTACTCTCTCTGGAATTGGAAATGCTTGGCCATACATTTTTTAAAAGTTACAAACAACTCCATGTTTTTAAACAGAATAGAACTCCCTCTAAAAGCAGAACTATCTCCAAAAGAAATATTAGGAATGTTTTTAAATGCTTAGAGCTAGGTTAAACAGCTTAATTCAAAACATATTTAAATGTTATATGGTGAAATATCTTCTCTGTCCTCTGAGGTCTTTGGCATTATAGAGATTCCTTAGTCTCCTTCAAGCTTGTTCAAATTCAAGGTTTCCTTAAGAGTCTCTTTAGGAAGTAGGTTGGTGTTAGGCCAGGCACAGTGGCTCATGCCTGTAATCCCAGCTACTTGGGAGGCTGAGGTGGCATGAGAATTGTTTGAACCTGGGAGGCGGAGGCTGCAGTGAGCCAGGATTGCACCACTGCACTACTGGCTGGGTGACAGAGCGAGACTGTGTGTCAACCAAAAAAAGAAGTAGGTTGGTGTTTATATTGAAAATAGGAACAGAAAACAAATTATCTGTACTTTTTAAGATCTAAGTTGAGAATAAATTAATTTTTTTGCTTTCTCTAGCTGGAATGGCTTTACTTGTGTATTATTTGGAAAAGATTATTTTGCATTAAAGTCAAACTTACAGAATTGACTCTTGAATTCTAGACTAACTTTGAATAATTGGACCTGCAGATTGACTATCCACCATTTGAAAAAAACTTTTACAATGAGCATGAAGAGATAACCAACCTCACTCCACAGCAGTTAATAGATCTCCGACATAAGCTCAATCTTCGGGTAAGACAATCATTAAGCTCAGTATTCTTATATCAATGTTAATTAGTCCAGATTTAGTATTATTATTGGTTATCTAAACTAATAACCTTGAATTTCTTTTCTAGTGATCTCTGAACTGTCTTTGCCAGAATAATTATTATGTCCCTTCTGTTCACGTTTCTTAATTTGATTGTTTTAGTCTTCTAGATGCTGTTTTAGGATAAGATCATTTTCTTCTTTCATATTTCAGTGAATTCTGTATGTTCTGTGCTGGATGGGCTAGTGATGAAGGGTGGGAGTCCCCATCTAAAGGAAGAGGAAACAAAATTAATAGATGTTAACATATGATATCTTAGAATATTTTGAAATTAATATAAACTTGTCTGTCAAATTACATATAGTATGCTTTATTTTAAAAATTAGAATAAATTAATACCTTTTAAAATACGCATGCACTGATTTCAGAATGGTTTAAACTGCCTACCAAAAGTTTTGAGCTGCACATTGGCTACATTGGTTTAAGGTGCTGATAGATGGTAAATGAAACACACAGAAAGAATATGCTATGCTATCTACTCTTAATATAGACAACTTTCTTGCCTGTGTGCACCTTATCAGTTGCTACACGATGTTTAAACTCTTGTTTTCCAGGAGGGGTGTGTATTTGGTGTGTGTACACTTGTCTGTTTTCCAAGAGGTACTCACCTCCCCAATGACCCAAGAAAATTTTTAAGTAAAACCTTTAACATTTTTTTCACTTAAAAATTTTTAAGTGAAATCCTGACTGGAAATGTCAGCATCACCAGAGGAGCGTTGAAAGGTTACCACTTTGGGGGACACAATGGAGATTATAAGCCCCATTCTTCACCTGGGTACAGTTTGAACAGGGCTTGACAGTGGCTAGACCATCAGTCATTAAGGGAGACGTTAATTCATCAGGCACAACTGAAAATGGAGGCAGTAGATTATGTCTTTGTAGCCAGCATATGTAGAGTTGTCTTATTTGGAGCCAACTTGGAATTTTCATTTCAAAAGTAAGATACATTAATTTTTTTCTACCCTCTGGTTAATGCTTATGCAAAATGGCAAAAGAAAGAACAGTAATGACTTCCCAATTCATTGAACAGTTTTTTTTCCATTTTGTTTGTTATGAGAAAATTAATTTTGATTTAATAAATTTTTAATCATTTAAAATTGTATGACAATTATCTTGGGAATATTTGTCAAGGAGTTTTTAATATGGGGTTTATATTTGTTACCATTTGAGGTTTTTGCCTTTTCATTGTATGATTTTGGCTTACAGACTTGTATTTTCACTTCATACTCCAGCTTTAAAATGCTAGATCCAGGTAAGTATTGTTGAACTTCAAATGCTGTTGATGTTGAAGTACAAGTCATTCTGGGGAGTTGTCTCTATCTCTAGGTCTCTGGTGCTGCACCTCCTAGACCAGGAAGTAGCTTTGCTCATTTTGGGTTTGACGAACAACTTATGCACCAGATTCGGAAATCTGAATACACACAGCCCACTCCAATACAGTGTCAGGTACGTAAAACATAATGAAAGAAAAATAAAGTAGGGTAATCTTTTGTGACTATATTAGTTTAAAAACAAATCACAGTAGTAAAACAGTGTTTAGTGTAGAACCTTATTGATAAGGATAGAGGTATTTATTACTCTAAGAAGTCACTAAATGGCTGGCAAATATTCTTTTGTATCTGATACCTATCTTGAAAATATGATATGAAGAAAATAATTTATTAGGCCTAAACGTAACCATAAAGGTTTGTATATGGACAAGTTTAGTGCTGTCAATGACTAGAATTCCTTTGTCCATCACTTGAAAATTCTCATTCATTACTGAAAGTTTTAGCTTCTTTTTCCCATTTATATATGGGACTTATTTATTCTTATGAAGAAAATTCTCATTTTCTGTATATGAATGAGATAGTCTGTACCTCCTCAAGGGGAGAAAATTTTTAAAAATTTTAGCAACCCTTCATTATAAATTGCGATCTTTCTGGTTTTTTTTTTTTTTTTTTTTTGAAGACGGAGTCTCACTCTGTTGTCCAGGCTGGAGTGCAGTGGTGCAATCTTGGCTCACTGCAACCTCTGCCTCCCAGGTTCAAGCAATTTTCCTGCTTCAGCCTCCCGAGTAGGTGAGATTACAGGCGTATGCCACCACACCTGGCTAATTTTTTGTATTTTAGTAGAGATGGGGTTTCACCATGTTGCCCAGGCTGGTCTCGAGCTCCTGAGCTCAAGCAGCCTGCCCACCTCGGCCTCCCGAAGTGCTGGGATTACAGACGTGAGCCACTGCCCAGCCTTGATTTTTCATTTCTATATTTTAAACAAAATGGAGTTGTTTCAGTTCTGTAAGTGGTGGCTGATATCCACATAATGAGAATGATGTCATTTCCTATAAATTAAGAAGTTAATGAGAATGTTGGATATTGATATTTCTATTTCACAACCAGTATGCATAGCACCGGATATGTTTTGTTCCATTGCATATAAAAATGTCATTAGTAGTCATTTATCCTTCCCCAGGATTTGCTTCAGTACACCTTTAGAATTGAAATTTTAGAGTGGTTATATTTTACTTTTTCTCCAGGGTGTGCCTGTGGCATTGAGTGGTAGAGACATGATTGGTATTGCCAAAACAGGTAGTGGGAAAACTGCAGCCTTCATATGGCCCATGTTGATTCATATAATGGACCAGAAGGAGTTGGAACCAGGTGATGGACCAATTGCAGTGATTGTGTGTCCTACCAGGGAGCTTTGCCAGCAGGTATGTGCTTTCTATAGAATGCCTCCTTCCATATGTGGACTAGCAAGGGACCAGCCAATCAAGTGAGGTAGAACGACCAGGAAACCTTTTTTTTTTTAATTGCAGTAAGATACACACAAAATTGACTATCTCTTTGAGACAGAGTCTTGCTCTGTTACCCAGGTTGGAGTGCAGTGGTGTGATCTCCGCTCACTGCAAGCTCCGCCTCCTGGGTTCCCGCCATTCTCCTGCCTCAGTCTCCCAGGTAGATAGGACTACAAGTGCCCACCACAACGCCCAGCTAATTTTTTCTATTTTTTAGTAGAGACGGGGTTTAACCGTGTTGTTAGCCAGAACAGTCCCGATCTCCTGACCTCGTGATCCACCCACCTCGGCCTCCCAAAGTGCTGGGATTACAGGCATGAGCCACTGCATCCGGCCAACCATTTATTTATTTATTTATTTATTTTTATTTTTTTGAGACGGAGTCTCGCTCTGTTGCCCAGGCTGGAGTACAGTGACGCGATCTCGGCTCACTGCAAGCTCCGCTTCCCGGGTTCACGCCATCCTCCTGTCTCAGCCTCCCGAGTAGCTGGGACTACAGGTACCCACCACCATGTCCGGCTATTAGTAGAGACGGGGTATAACCATGTTAGCCAGAATAGTCTCAATCTCCTGACCTCCTGATCCACCCGCCTCGGCCTCCCAAAGTGCTGGGATTACAGGCGTGAGCCACCGTGCCCGGCGTCTTAACTGTACATTTGTAATGTACAGTTTGGTGGCATTAAGTATATTCACAGTGTTGTGCTACCAGGAAACTTTGGAAAGTATTATGTGTTAAATATTTCCTATATAACCAAATACATACTTTCCCCTAAAAACTGTTTTTATTTATTTTTATTTATTTGCTTTTTTGAGACAGAGTCTCATTCTTTTGCCCAGGCTGGAATGCAGTGGCGTGAACTCAGCTCACTGCAACCTCCACCTCCCAGGTTCAAGCAATTCTCCTGCCTCAGCCGAGAGGTCGGGATCACGGGCACACGCCACCACATCTGGCTAATTTTTTATATTTTTAGTAGAGACGGGGTTTCACCATGTTGACCAGGCTGGTCTCAAACTCCTGACCTCAAGAGATCTGCCTGCCTCGGCCTCCCACAGTGCTGGGATTATAGGTGTGAGCCACTGCGTTCAGCCACAACTATTGTTTTTAAGAGGAAAAGTCTATTGTGATATGGGAATTGTTTGTATTATAAGCTGACAGTTTTTTTGTAGGATGAATTCATTTTGTCTTGGTAGAAAAGCAGTGACAGGATCAGAAAGAGAAGGAGGTAAAATGAATAAAGGAAGATTTTATATAATCTTTTGAGGTGCCCTAATGATATTCTTTTCATTTATACCTTTATGAATAAAATTGTTCCAGGTTTTGATTTTTTATGACATCACATTCTGTTTTTCAGAACTTCGTTTGAGTTGTGACAGAGGTATTTGTTAGTGTCACAGTTTGTTAATATATTATTCACAACTTTGTAGATCCATGCAGAATGTAAGCGGTTTGGAAAAGCATATAATCTTCGATCAGTGGCCGTATATGGAGGAGGGAGTATGTGGGAGCAGGCCAAGGCCCTTCAGGAGGGGGCAGAGATTGTTGTGTGTACCCCAGTAAGTATGCTTTGTGTTTAAATGGCTTCTCAGCCTTCCTCGGTGTGGAAAACATGATTAGTTTTGCAGAGAATTTCCCCTAAAATGTGGTAAAAGCAGAGTTGAAAATATATTGATGAATGGCAGCCTGTGGTTTTAATTTTGATTGGTGGCTAAATTAGCAGTCCAGTAAGAGTCTCTGTGACATATAGGCTAGTAGCTACAAATTCCCCTCTGTGTCAAATAGTTTTTCTTGTTTTCTCCTACAAAATGATTGCCAAGTTCATCAAGAATCAGAAAGATACATATGGTCAGAACAGCCTAGAAGAGTGTAAACATTGAAGCCTGTCATTATGCTTTAAATCAGGTTACTTTAGAATGCCTCAAAACATGCTTCTGGCCACTTTCCCACAGAATTTAAATCACAGTGTAAATGAAGAAGCCAACTGAGTTTTCAAAATTTCCGTTCTTTTGAGCTAAGTAGTGCATAAGGTACATGGCTGTTGGACCATTATCTATTACAGTCTGAGACTAGAGAATTAGCACTTTTTTGCCAGGAGTGCAACTGCTTAGAAAGTCCCTGTGAATGCCTTTATACTTACTGTTCATTTTGTGGATCTCATAGGGTCGACTGATTGATCATGTGAAAAAGAAAGCTACCAATCTTCAAAGAGTCTCTTACCTTGTGTTTGATGAAGCAGATCGAATGTTTGACATGGGATTTGGTATGCCTTGAATACCAGTTTCTTCTTTCCCCATCCTCATGATATTAGTTTTTTCCCATGTCTTTCTAGAATAGTTTTTCAGCATGAGAGAAGCTAAAAATACTCCTGGATGGGGTTAGACTAGAAATATAGCTAAGATGAACATTTTTACGAGTTTTCTCTGGAAAAGTATGTTAGGTTTTATTGGGTTGAGGAAATTTCAAAGTGCCTTTGTATATAAGGGAAATATTTTCTCTGTCTTTATTTTTATTCATATGCCTTTGATCATAGAGGTTAAGGTCTGTGTACTTGGGTAGGTGAATGTCAGATGATTCGAGGCCCTTTGCTTTCCTATCCTCATAGCTGTCTTTACTGATTGGAACACTGCTAGACCTAGCCCAGTTGGATGGAGGGAAAATTTTTCACTTTTATACTGAACGATATGTCTAGGAGCTTCGTTTTTTTTTTGAGACAGAGTTTCACTCTTGTTGGCCAGGCTGGAGTGCAGTGGTGCGATCTCACTACAACCTCCTCCTTCCAGTTTCAAGCGATTCTCCTGCCTCAGCCTCCTGAGTAGCTGGGATTATAGGCACCTACTCCACACCTGGCTAGTTTTTTTTTTTTTTCCGGTATTTTTAGTAGAGAGAGCTGTGTTGACCAGGTTGCAAACTCCTGACCTTAAGTGATCCGGTGATCCGCCTGCTTCGGCCTCCCAGAGTGCTAGGATTACAGGCATGAGCCACTGCGCCCGGCCTGGGGTTTCTAATTTTCTTAATTCTTACAACTTCTTGTGAATACTTTTACTAAAATGGCTTTTTCCAGGCTTCCCAAACTGTATTTCAGGTTATAATATTAATTTTATTGTTCTGCTTCTTCCAGAGTACCAAGTTCGATCCATAGCAAGTCATGTTCGTCCTGACAGGCAGAGTATGTATGAAGCACCTTGGTTAAACCAAATTTGTACTAAAAAGGACACTTATTTATTTTATAAGCACTCAGAGTTATGGAAGTAAAAATGATCATGTGTGTACTGGTGAGAACCGTAACGAGGGAGGTAATGAGTTTATCTGAGCTGGACAGGATCTTAGCACTAGATATAACTTGTTCCTTTTTATAGATGATAAAAGCAAGCCTCAGAAATTAAATAAGCTGCCCAAAATTATACAGTTTTATCAGCGGGTAGAAGCAATGAACAGTACAGATCTGCTGATTTGAAATCAAGAGTCTTTTTCTGAACCATGCTGACAACTTGTCTTAACTAAAAATGTAATAAAAATAGAATAAGAGCAAATCTTTCGCTAGTGAATCAATTTTTAAACTAAATTTAAAGCTCAGGTGAGCTTATGTAAAAAAACTGAATAATCTTGAATGCCAAAGAAGCTTAATGGGTATTCATAAAGATATCATACTGTTTCTCTAACAGAATTTATCTTATCTTGTAGCTCTCTTATTTAGTGCAACTTTTCGGAAAAAGATTGAAAAGTTGGCCAGAGACATCCTGATCGACCCTATTCGAGTGGTGCAGGGAGATATTGGAGAGGTAACCCTAAACAGGGCTGGATGGGACCTTAATGTGTTTATTTCTCATATTATGGAACACAGAATTAATTTCTCACTATTGAGATAAAAAAAGATGTTATGTTTATAGATGCAACATGCTTGAGATTTGGTATTTTGCAAGTTGTGGGGATACATGAAAGAGGACTGGCAAAATATTGGGAATCATTGAAGCTAGGTGATGGGTACGAGTTGATTTTGTTCATTTTGCTTTTCTGTTTGTTTTACTGAATGTCTCAAAACTTTATAATTGTTTTAAAAAGGCTTCAAAGAGACAAAAAGATCTTCCTGGAAGCATACTACAGTGTGTTAGGTTGGAACTGACGTTTTAATTATTGTGGGAGGGGCCTACACAGGAGGGAAAGGGTGACCTGAAAGGCCTGGCAAAAATCAGGTTTCATTTCTTACCTGTACATATGCGCTATGTGGAAAATTTCTCTGAATTGGGACTTGGAATTCAGTTATGGCTGCTTAAGAATCCTTTAGTTGCTTGCCATGGTTATTGTTAAGGAAAGCTCTAGAAAGTAGTGGGGCATACAAATTAGGTATGTACACCAGGCGGAGAGCAAGGTGATTGAAAAGGAGAGGTGAGTTTTGAGCTGCACTTGACTTGCTGAAGGAAGGCCCAAGGAGAACTGGATTGTTGAAGGTCTTCTCGATGCAGGTGGAAAATACAATGCTAGTCCTTGTTTAGGTGGCCTGTGACTCCAATGTCACAATCATCTGTTTCATTTCTTCCTTCTCAGGCAAATGAAGATGTGACACAGATTGTGGAGATTCTCCATTCTGGACCTAGTAAATGGAACTGGCTTACCCGGCGTCTGGTAGAGTTTACCTCTTCAGGGAGTGTCCTCCTCTTTGTTACTAAAAAAGCCAATGCTGAAGAGCTAGCGAATAACCTTAAACAGGAGGGTCATAATCTTGGGCTGCTCCATGGGGATATGGATCAGAGTGAGAGAAACAAGGTCATTTCAGACTTTAAGAAAAAGGACATCCCAGTCCTGGTGGCCACAGATGTTGCAGGTAGAGTATGAATTTTTCAACAACATTAAGTTCCTAGGCTATAAGGGTACTCTGTCTTACTGTATAAGACATGTAATATCTGAGCAGGCTGATGGAAAGACTATTGGCCTGACTGGCCATCCCCTCCCAAGCCCCCAAGGAAGCAGCAGTTCAGCACAGGGATCATAGTCTGGAGCTCTAGACACCACTTTTCACTTAGTGTCTCTCTCTGATCAAAGAATCCCTGCAGCGGCTGGGCGCGGTGGCTCAAGCCTGTAATGCCAGCATTTTGGGAGGCCGAGACGGGCGGATCACGAGGTCAGGAGATCGAGACCATCCTGACTAACACGGTGAAACCTCGTCTCTACTAAAAAAATAGAAAAAAGTAGCTGGGTGAGGTGACAGGTGCCTGTAGTCCCAGCTACTCAGGAGGCTGAGGCAGGAGAATGGCCTAAACCCGGGAGGTGGAGCTTGCAGTGAGCTGAGATCCAGCCACTATACTCCAGCCTGAGCGACAGAGCAAGAATCCGTCTCAAGAAAAAAAAAAAAAAAAGAATCCCTGCAGCTAGAAGTCACTGGGGGAAAAAAGGCAATGAATGCCCTTATTGTATGTCAGAATATAGTAGATGTCTTACATTGATCTACTATACACAGCTTAGTTGGGCAACTTCACTCAGGATGAGAACAGTTTTTGGAATATTATTTCTGCTTTGTTCTGTCAAGTTTTAATAACTACCCTTAAACACTGATATTCCCAGAAAGGAGAGAACTTCTCAGCTTCATGACACATTTTAAAAATATATTCCCAGTGCAAGAGAAGAGGGCATGGCAGATTCTTGACGCAAAAGATAAAAGTCCTGGTCGGACGCAGTGGCTCACACCTGTAATCCCAGCACTTTGGGAGGCGGAGGCAGGCAGATCACCTGAGTTCAGGAGACTGAGACCATCCTGGCCAACATGGTGAAACCCTGTCTCTACTAAAAATACAAAAATTAGCTGGGTGTGGTGGCGTGTGCCTATAATCCCAGCTGCTTGGGAAGCTGAGGCAGGAGAATCGCTTGAACCAGGGAGTCAGAGGTTGCAGTGAACTGAGATCACGGCACCGCACTCCAGTCTGGCAACAGAGTGAGACTCCATCTCAAAAAAATAAAAAACAAAAGTTCCTTACACTAGAAGGCCTAACATCATGGAATCTATGGTGGTGACTTAACATGCCTGTATCTCAGCTCACCAAACCCAAGCACTTCGCCTAGATAAAGGAAATGTGGCTTCTTAGAGCACTAGCATTTCTGGTTACTTTGATCTTTTGACTACAGATGAAGAATAAAAGAATGTGGTTGCTTTTTATTTCAGCCCGTGGTCTGGACATTCCTTCAATTAAGACTGTCATTAACTATGATGTGGCACGAGACATTGATACTCACACACATAGGATTGGCCGCACGGGAAGAGCGGGTGAGAAAGGTGTGGCCTATACCCTGCTCACTCCCAAGGACAGCAATTTTGCTGGTGACCTGGTCCGGAACTTAGAAGGAGCCAATCAACACGTTTCTAAGGAACTCCTAGATCTGGCAATGCAGGTGAGGGACTGGGCACACTTTCAGTTGCTCCTAGTTGTAAGACCAAGACATTTTAGCAGTCCTGGAGCAGATAACATAAAAACTTGACAAGAAAGTTGGGTGGCAGGGAGGATGTGGGGCTTATGAGGTACAGATAGGAATTGTGAGATACTGAAATTCATCTAGTCTTATCTGGTCTTCTCCTTCTTTCAACAACATCTGTTTTGAAAAGCTATTCCTTTGTACTAAAATCTGTCCCTGTAATTTCACCCCATAGCACACTTACGAGTAAATTTAATCTCAAAGATGGTTACTGTTCTTACTGCTCTTCTCCCATAAAACTTTTCTTCTGGGGGGCTAAAAATGTGTGATGTCTTTGAAACAATGTGTGTATAGTATAGTGCCCGCCCCCCCCCCCCCCTTTTTTTTTTTTTGAGACAGAATCTCGCTCTGTCGCCCAGGCTGGAGTGCGATGGTGCAATCTCAGCTCACTGCAACCTCCGCCTCCCGGGTTCAAGCGATTCTTCTGCCTTAGCCTCCCAAATAGTTGGGATTACAGGCGCCCACCACCATGCCTGGCCAATTTTTGTATTTTTAATAGAGATGGGGTTTTGCCATGTTGGTCAGGCTGGTCTGGAACTCCTGACATCTGGTGATCCTCCCGCCTTGGCCTGGGCCTCCCAAAGTGTTAGGATTACATGTGTGAGCCACCATGCCCGGCTTATATAGTGCCTCTTAACTATTCCCAGCAGTCTGAGATCTTAGACCTTTGACCACACTGATTGCCATCTTCCAGGTGTGCTCCCAGTCTAAAGCTAAGTGAGGCATTCTAACAAATCAAACCTAGAGTCATCTGAATCCATGCTGTCCCCAAATTACAAATGGGTTTGGAACACTTTGAGAGCAGAAACTGTTAAGAGTTTGTCAAATGCCTAGGCCAGCTCACATAACTGGTACAACTCAGCTGCAGTGTGGCAGTGCCTGAGTTTCTGGTCCTAGGAGTAAAGGACCTGAACTGCAAGAGAGAAGAGAATAATGTTTCCTCTCCTGCTCCTGAGCACAGAGAGCCAGTCCTAAATGACCTTTTAAACAGGACAGATTTTGTCTTTGGCATTTTCTTCCATTTCTTTTTGTACCTCAGACTTTCTGTGCTCAGAACTTTGCCCAAGCCTGCTGCCCTACCTCTCAAGCACTTTATTTTGCTGGTAATATTTGATTGTCAGATAAAGCTTTAACCTTCCCAGAGATATTTGCTTTTTTTTTTTTTTTTTTTTTTTTTTCCCGCTTTTTTCTGAGATGGAGTCACACTCTATCACCCAGACTGGAGTGCAGTGGCGCAGTCTCAGCTCACTGCAACCTCTGCCTCTCCGGTTCAAACAGTTCTCCTGCCTCAGCTTCCCGAGCAGCTGGGATTAGAGGCATGTGCCACCATGTCTGGCTAATTTTTGTATTTTTAGTAGGGACGGGGTTTCACCATGTTGGTCAGGCTGGTCTTGACTCCTGGCCTCTAGTGATCTGCCCGCCTTGGCTCCCAAAGTGCTGGGATTCACAGGTGTGAGCCACCGCCCTGCATTCTTAAGAGAATATGAGTAAATATGATGAGTAGTATCGTGGCAGTGGTCAAATTCAATGAAAACTTTTAGGCTCGGTGGGTAAATCTTCAGTTGTGTGGCTACCATCCTTTCTGGGAGTCTGCCCCTATAGTCAGTTCTGATAAGCCTCACTTCACATAGCGTTTTTCCTTTGCTTCTGAACACACCATTTCTTTAAGCTCCACATGTTTATGTCCAATAGTATATGGTTTGAGAAATAAAAAATAATCTCATTTTCCTCAAGGAAGTTAGAAGTAGCCAAAGTGACTCTTTGTGTTTGAAGCTTTTCTGAACAACTTCCCTTCCAGGAGAGCCTGAGGGAGGGAGCACTATAGGAAGCCTTAGATAAGGAACTCAGCTGCTTTTCAAATTTGGTGGATTATGCTACCAAGGAGAAACTAATCTGTGGTTCCTGTGAACAGTTCCTCCCTTAGCGTAAATGTGCTGGCTGAAAGTTAAGCAAAGAGTTCCCCCTTCCCACTTAATTTCCTCTTTGTCCTCATCCTCTTCCTCTGGTCTTTTCTCCCTTCCTTGAGTCAACCTTGAATTTTGTTCATTGCAGAATGCCTGGTTTCGGAAATCTCGATTCAAAGGAGGGAAAGGAAAAAAGCTGAACATTGGTGGAGGAGGCCTAGGCTATAGGGAGCGGCCTGGCCTGGGCTCTGAGAACATGGTGAGTCTAGACTACAGTAGTGTCTTTAGGGTTGGTCTCATGTCCTGAATGTCATTAGGAATATTCTCATCTGCCCAGGAAAGCCTCAGTGAGTTTAAAACCCTGTCTAGAAGGGAATTTGTATTTAATCTGATTTCAGTCAATTCAGTGCTCATTCTTATGGTAACTTTCTATTGAAGAAGCATCTTTGTGTACTTGGTTGACTAGGCTTGCTCAGGAAATTATTCTAGATTAGCAGTGATGTCACACTGTGGTCCCTGGACCAACAGCACATGCAAACTCATCCCCCACCCCCGACCTTGTGAATAGAAACTCTGGAGTTGGGGCGCAGCAGTCTGCTTTTACAGCCCTTCAACACTGGCCTAAAGCCTGCTGTTAGGGAAATGTTGCCATAGGGTCACTATAAAGTCTAGCCATATCTTGTCATTAAACTCCGGAATGGATCAGGAATTTCCAAGTTGGGAGCTAGTTTTTCTCACAAGCCAGGTAACAAAAGTACCCTTTCAGTGGCCTTTCTTAACTACCTGTTTTTTGTCAGTTTGATTCCTAAGCCAGGGAAGAAAGCTGCCAGTATACTTTTCTGGAGCATTAGAGTTAAGCTTGGCATCTTTGATAATTACATACTCTGTTCCCACATTATTATAATAATGATTATGCATAATAATAGCTAATATTTATTGAGCACTTTATATGTGCCAGGACCATTCCAAGCAATCTGATATTTTAGCTCAGTTAATCCTCACAACAACCAAATGGAAGTTAGTACAGATAACAACATTGAGACACCTAAAGTTACACTGACAGGCATTTAAGCTGAAATTCAGACCCTTCATGGTCTTGATTCAGGGCCTTAGCAGTCACACAATATGCTATTCAGAGCCTTTTCATCTTTAACATAATTTTTACTTACTTAATTGGATGTGTGTATGTAAATAATACATGATCAACTTTGGGCATAATCTGATTGCATTTCTGTTTAATAGGGTTAATTCCAAGAAGTAGAATTTCTGGGTTGAGGGCATAAGCATTTTTAAATGATTGTCACTGTCTTTTCTCACAAAGCAGAAGTAGCCTTCTAAAAGTAATGCAGTTCCTTCGCAGCTCCCGCTTCAAGGGTTTTCATTATAATGAGGGCTAGTCTATGGCAGTGAGCTTTCCTGCTTATTTTTTCATCCTCATAGTTGTGTTTATTTTTTTTAGGACCGAGGAAATAACAATGTAATGAGCAATTATGAGGCCTACAAGCCTTCCACAGGAGCTATGGGAGATCGACTAACGGCAATGAAAGCAGCTTTCCAGGTCTGAAATAAACATTTCATTAAAAGCAAGCAGTAACTCTTGGGCAATGACAAGAGGGGCTTAGTTTTCCTGGTTGTAGCTGGGCTTACAGGCTTGATGCTAGAGTTAGGGTCTTCACGCTGCTTGGATTTTGAATATAAACCTAACAGTAGCTTACCTGGACATGCAAATTGATCTAGAGAACCCCTTGTGCTGGTCTACTTGAGTCATACTCAGGGCCTGGGATTGTTGTCCTGCAGCAGGGTGTGTGTTCCCTCCCTTCCCAACAGCCTGCAGTATTGCCCACCTCCCAGGCGCCCACTTCCAACTCACTTCTGAAGCAAAATGTACTGATAGTCACACTAAGGTGAATCGATAGAATGAGTTCAAGGCAGGTTTTGCTGTCAAACTTAAATTTCAGTATAAAAATTTTTTTTAAGTTTTCAGAACTTTTTGGTTTTGAATGGTAAATAACAGATAAATGTGCTAAATACACAGATGCTTTATTCTAGCCAATCAGGCTATAAAAGTACATTTCAGAACACTGGGGGTCCATCTCTCCACAGAGATTCACAAGTTTTCCTTTATAGCACAAGAAAAAAAGGGACCATACTGTGGGGCCAGCAGGACACTAAAGTCACAGTGCCAAGATAGCATAGTGTTTCTGTAAACCTCATCATTTTCCAAGTTGTATATTCAAGTTTCTTGAATTTGCTATCTTACCTACTCCTGATGTCTCTTTCTCTTTCAGTCACAGTACAAGAGTCACTTTGTTGCAGCCAGTTTAAGTAATCAGAAGGCTGGAAGCTCTGCTGCTGGGGCAAGTGGGTGGACTAGCGCAGGGAGCTTGAATTCTGTTCCAACCAACTCAGCACAACAGGGCCATAACAGTCCTGACAGCCCTGTTGCCAGTGCCACCAAGGGCATTCCAGGCTTTGGCAATACTGGCAACATCAGTGGTGCCCCTGTGACCTACCCATCTGCTGGAGCCCAGGGAGTCAACAACACAGCTTCAGGGAATAACAGCCGAGAAGGGACTGGGGGCGGCAACGGGAAAAGAGAGAGATATGAGAACCGGGGCAGCAGCCGTCACAGTCACGGAGAGACTGGCAATCGGCATAGCGATAGCCCACGTCATGGAGATGGTGGTCGCCATGGAGATGGATACCGCCACCCAGAAAGCAGCAGCCGTCACACTGATGGCCATCGGCATGGAGAGAACAGACATGGAGGAAGCGCAGGCCGGCATGGGGAGAACCGGGGTGCAAATGACGGTCGGAATGGGGAAAGCAGGAAAGAAGCTTGTAATCGTGAGAGCAAGATGGAGCCCAAGATGGAACCCAAAGTGGACAGTAGCAAGATGGACAAGGTGGACAGCAAGACAGATAAGACAGCTGATGGCTTTGCTGTCCCAGAGCCGCCTAAACGCAAGAAAAGTCGATGGGACAGTTAGAGGGGATGTGCTGAAGCGTGAAATCAGTTGTCCTTAATTTTTAGAAAGATTTCGGTAACTAGGTGTCTCAGGGCTGGGTTGGGGTCCAAAGTGTAAGGACCCCCTGCCCTTAGTGGAGAGCTGGAGCTTGGAGACATTACCCCTTCATCAGAAGGAATTTTCGGATGTTTTCTTGGGAAGCTGCTTTGGTCCTTGGAAGTAGAGCTGGGAAGCTTCCTTTGCCTCTAGGTGAGTTGTCATGAGGGTAAGTTGAGGTTATCTTGGGATAAAGGGCCTTCTAGGGCACAAAACTCACTCTAGGTTTATATTATACGTAGCTTATATTTTTTACTAAGGTGTCACCTTATAAACATCTATAAATCGACTTCTTTTTCTTAGTTGTATGGCCAGGCAGTCCCCTTTTTAGGAGTTGGCTTCTGCAAACTCAATCCATTGAACTAACTGTTGGGGAGCAATTTGGTAGTTGTAGACATTTGCAGGGAAGGGAGATGTCTGATTCTAAATGGGAGTTGATGCTCAGGTCCCCAGTCATGTTTGCGTCCAGCCCTGAGACATGTAGGAAACACCTTCCAGACCCAGGCTCTGAAGATTCCCAGAAGCCACAAGGATTGAAGGGAAAAGGTGATCCTGGTAACTGTTCTAGGATTGCTCCAGGTCTGAGATGGTGTTGCTAAATTTAAAGTTAAACAAAAAACCCAACAAGAGCTTTTAAAGTGTCTTCTTCTTCTATTTCATTGTATTTTTTTTAACTTGCCCCAATGATAGAAAAGTCTTTTGCTGAAATGATTTTGATGATTTTTGTTCTATGTTGTTTATAAAAGGAAAAGAAATATACAAACTTTGACTTTTGTGACTTTGTGAAGGTTTCTTTAAGATGTGCATTCCTTTCTGCTTGCTCTCTAGTAAATGTTTTACTACTGGGACCTGTGGATCGTTTGTCATTTCTGTCTCACTATGAGTTGGTACATCTTAGAATAGTGCCGCCCACAGTGTGCGTACTCAGATGTAGGGAAGTGCTTATTAAAACTGTCAGAAAAGACAACTCTTCCATTATCCTGGTTTTATTCAGGAATAGGATGGGGGAAGGCTTAGCCCACATGTCCAGGTGTAGACTACATCGAGTGTCGCTCCAACACTGAACTTCCCCTTAACAGTTTAAAAAAAGGGTCGTGGGTCTGTCAACACAGTTCAGCAGTGCTTTCATGGGAGACCTTCCTTCAGGCAAGCAGGAGGACATCGTCCTCTCTGCTGAAGACCACCACGGGAGTTCTAGGCACCCCGCCTCACTGTTCTTCAGACAGCTGTGATGTGAGCAGGGGCTGGGCTGGTTATCAAGGGGGCCAGACTGAGCCACGTCACACCCTTCCTCCTAGTCCCCGTGCTCTCCTGGTGAGCCTGGCAGCTCTGCTTACTTCCGTTTGTGTTTTTTCTTTTGTTCCTTACGTTGCTGTGCTCTTTGGTCCTTCTTCATCCTTGAGTCCACCACCTTGAAATGACCTCTGACTCCAGCTGGCCGGCGCACTTTGCGGCCCACACCTTTTTTGGCTACAACATAGGTGACATGGTGTTTCTCCTTGCCAAACCCAGCCTTCTTGTAGAGACTACAGGGGGAAGAGAACAGGTTAGAGGCTTGCTTTCTGCTGCACTTTTAGCCCTGTGTACCTTTGTGGTGTCCTCCCATTACCTTCTCAGCTGTGCCACTTTCTCTCGTTCTGAGATGTCCACTGTGTTCACCACGGCTTCTGCCTTCTTCCTGGTCTGCTCCAGCCTCTTCAGCATCTGCAGAAGGAACCTGTCAGGTGACCTCTTCCCCATCCCCGACCCCCCCCAATCTCTGGAGGCCCCATCACTTACCCTCCTTTTCTTTCTAGCCTTAGCCTCAGCCACCTTCTTGATGGGACGGGCATTGATTTCCCGCCAGCGTTTCCGGTAATGCTCCACCTCCTTCTTACCAATAGGCAACTGTCGTATTCGGTGCTGCTTTTCCTCTTGCACAAACCACTCTGGAAGCTCCCCCTCATCCTCATTAAATGTGTACCTGAGTGGAAAGGAACATCTGTCCAATATCCAACATTCCAGGCTTTCTAAAGAAATTACCGGACCGGGCGCAGTGGCTCATGCCTGTAATCCCTGCACTTTGGGAGGCTGAGGCGGGCAGATCACCTGAGGTCAGGAGTTTGAGACCAGCCTGGCCAACATGGCGAAACCCTGTCTCTACTAAAAATACAAAAATTAGCTGGGCATGGTGGTGGGCGCCTGTAATCCCAACTACTCAGGAGGCTGAGGCAGGAGAATCACTTGAACCTGGAAGGCAGAGGCTGCAGTGAGTAAAGATTGCGCCGTTGCACTGCAGCCTGGGTGACAGAGCGAGACTCCATCTCAAAAAAAAGAAAAAACCCATTTACCCACCAGACCCTGGTCACTCTTGATGAGTTTCTGGCCCCTTTACCGGTTGAAGGAATTATCTATGAGATCTCTCTTGGCCTTTTTGGAAGAGGCAATAACAGCACCTAGAGCAAGGCCTTCAGGGTCCAGTATCCGATGTTTTGCTAGAGAGGGAAGGAGAAAGGTCAAAGCTCAATTCCCAATACTGACACGTCCAGTGGTTTTTTCTCATTCCACTGTATACAGAGCTCTCACCTGGGTCCTCGATAGGCACTATCTCAAACCCGTTATCATCTGACTTAGGCCCACGACTTTGCTTCTTACCACGGAGGAGTTCCCGGCTGTGAAGAGGGGAGGACTCAGTGATTCCACCACTCTGTACTAAGATCGCACTTCCACGGAATTTGCAAAAATCCTGCCACGCAGGCTGTACCCCAGTCCAGTTAAATCAGGATCGTCAGTACAGTATTTTTAACCCTCCCCATCTGCAGCCAAGATTGAGAACCCCCAATTTAGAGAAATGGTTCAAGCCACTGCTTCCTTTCCATCCCTTCTCTCAGCTGCAACCACTCACCTCTCTTCATCCTCACTGCTACTACTGCTATCACTGTCTGAGATGCCATCCTCTTCTTCCCCTTCAGGACCAGTGGCAGCTTCTGTCCCCAAAGAAGCCTCTGTTCCCTTAGGGGCTTCATCTCGACACAGGGGAGACATTATCTCAGTCTTCAAACAGGAAGGCAGTGTCTGTGGCAGCTGCTGTGGCTGCTGTTGCTGTCCCTTGCGCCGGCTCTCAAACAATAGCTGGGCCTGACTGATCTCAAGGGCCTCATCTGCATCATCCTCAATCCCAACGAAGCTGCCCTGTGATGGGAGAACATCAGCTGCCCTTCTCCCAGGGAAGACTCATCTGGCAGTCTTGCCCCCTGCCTCTCCTTACCTTTGAGAACCACAAGTTGGCTTGTTCTTCCTGCAGTATTGCCTTTTCCTCCAGTGGTACCAGCAGTGGATTCTCCTCCTCCTCCTCCTCCTCTTTATCATCTTCTACTTCAGTAAATCGCACACTGTAGACCCAAAGGAAAGTAGGGGGCTCAGAGACCCAGAATGGCTGGTGCCCTTGCTCCCCTACTTAGGCTCTGGCAGTACCCACCCCAACGCTGCCTCAGAGTGGCAGCATTCCCTCTGGCGTGCACACGTGCCCCTTACCGCTTTTGGTCCCTTAGATCCTGATGTCCCCTGACTCCTGCCAGCTCCTCTGGATCCAGGTCACTATCTGCAGATGTGTCATCACCGTCGTCCTCAACATCTGACACATAGATGTCATCCCTCGGCAGATCGGACAGAAATGTGTCTGCTGCACTCATATCCCCTTGTGTTACTTCCTCTAATAACTGAAGTGTAACAGAAACAAAGGTGAACTATTTAAAAGGAAACATACTGTTTTTTTTCTGTGTCTCTCACCTCAGTCTATCTTCAGCAACACTAGGAAGAACACTGGCAAATCCATTATCCTTTCACAGACGGGAAAGCTCAGATCCAGGGTAGTGAATGGTCTGTTTACAACATCCCGTTCTAGGCTATGTTACTGATCCATCCCACTGAGCTGTCTTATCTCAGTGGTATCACAAATGGGTCTTATGGGAAGGTACCCTACAGCCCATATAGCACCAAATCTTAACATACTCTACAACACTGGTTTTCCTTTAAAAATTATCCTCAGATGGCATCTCAATCACCTCCTGAGAATACCATCTACGCAGTCTGTCTCCACTGAATAAAAGGGGCCCAGCCAACATACATCCAACAGAACTGTCCCACTTAAACCAATTGTCAGAACCTTTTATTTTCCTCATGCAGAGATACTAGGCTGGGTATGATGGCTCACACCTGTAATCCCAGCATTGTGGGAGGCTGAGGCAGGAGGATTGCTTGATGCCAGGAGTTTGAGGCTGCAGTGAGTCATGATGGCACCACTGCACTCCAGCCTGGGTGACAAAACAAGATCTTGTCTCAAAGGAAAAACCCCAACTACTATTTCTTGAGTGTTTATCACATATGAGGGATTACACCTATCTTTTTTTGTTCCTCACAAAAACTCTAGTAGGTAGGTTCTATTATTGTTTTACAGATGAGGAAACTGAGGCAGCAAGGATAAGTGGGAGGCAGCAAGCATAAGTGGTAGTCAGCTCAGTCACTTCACACAGCTCCAGGTAGTAGAGCTGGGAAGGAAACCTGAGCCTGTGTCTGCTCTAGGGCCACCATGCTCTCCTGCCTCCTGTACAACAAAGATGACTTGATTATGACACTTCCACATATAAACCACAGAAGTTCATTTTGTTTGTGACCCTGATTTTGTCAGGAAAAACATGTTCTTCAGTATTGAGTGGAAGCAGCCTAATGTGAGTGCTCACTTGGTCTCAATGAACTGAAGAATGCTGCTCTCCTCTAAGGGAGACCCTCTCTTCCTCTGTGCTTGTAACTCAAGTAACCTGGCAGCATCCATTATAAGTTCTTTTCTGATGTTCCAGTTCTTCAAGAATAATCTATCACAGTCATCTATCTACCTAACTTCATCCTTTTAGGTTTATGTTTCTTTGTGACTTTAGACTCACCAAGGCACCCTGTGGTGAAGACAGCAACCACAACCTATCATTCAGCAACTTAAAAAGACATGCAACACCCCCAACCTCCAAACACCCAAACAGATTCTTATGTCTCCTAAGCCTGCACCCCCAATGCCACCTCACCTGGTGACCCCGGATGGTGCGCAAGGAGAACATGCCAGTCTCCCCCTCGTCTGCAATGGAAACCCCAGGCAGATCCATCTTCAGCTCCACACGCTCCCGCTGCTTTCTCTGCTCACGCAGCAGCTTCTTTTTCTTCCTGAGGGGGTGGATTCAGGGAGTAAAACTGGCCCAGCTCCAAAGAGTTTCTATCCATGCCTTGCATTTTCTTCTCCCATCTTCACACAGGAGATCCCTGCATTGGTGGACTCCAAGCTCCACCCCAGCTCCTCTCACCTCTTCAATTCTGCCACCTCCTGGGCCTTCATTTCTGCCAGGGTCTGGTTCAGTTGTTCCTCCTCCTCCTCCTCCTCCTTAGAGGGCTGCTTTGTGATCCCAGCTGTTGAGTCCTCCTCATCACCTTCATCTTCCTCTCCAGAGCTGAGGCTGGCAAAACAGTCCCAGGAGTTGGGTTATTTTCCTGGACTCTTTCCCTGGACACCCCGTCCACACCTGCCTGGCTGCGTTCCCTCCTCACCTGATGTCCAGTGCCTTTGCTTGTTCTTTCAGCTTCTTGGCCACATATCGCCGAAGTTTTGTTCTCCAGTTTAGTAGCAACCTGCCCCAGAGATACTATTACTGATCTTGCCATCTCCCTCTTTGTCCCTGCCCTCTTCTGTTTTAGGCTCACTATCCACCTTTTCAGGTTTCAGCTACATAAACCAAAAGGCTCAGGCCCCTACCCCAAACCTTTAGCACAGCAATATCCTCTTCCCAGAGATCTAACATCATGACCTTTCCCGCCTCCAGAGCTCCTGGCCCCCATGCCCACCCCGCTGCATACCTGAGCTCCTTGCGCCCCAACACTCTGATGTCCTGACAGCACACCCGTATGTCTTCAGTGGTAGCTGGATGCTGTGCCAACTCTTCATCATCTACCATGATCTGTTTGGGAGGAGGGAAAGGTGTCGGGAGATTCTCAGGCCATGTTTCCGGGGCTACCTCATGTCCCTCAAGGCTGGAGACTCACTTCGCTGGCCTTAGACAGGAAGTCGACAGGGTTGGCAGCTCGGAGGAAGTCAGTGACTGAGGTACGGTGATAAAGAGTGAGGTCGCCCTCAGCATAGCCTTCAGCCTTAGGGAGAAAAAGAGAGAAGGTTGGGCAGTCCCTTCTGGGTATCTGTAGGACCCACCAGGCCCAACCTCTCCAGAGTTCCAGGACCCAAAGGTGGCCCCATTCCCCAAAACACACCTTTGGCTTCTTCTTAGTCACCAATTCAGTAACAGTCTTAGCCTGAACTTCAACCTCCTTGAAGGCAAATTTGGGGTCGAAGAATTTACTGTCAACCTTGTCAGGGGCCAGGAATCCTAAAAATGACAGGATATATTAAAAAGTGTGCTTTGGGAGTTGGGAGGCTGGATCAAGAGAAAGGAAATGATGCCCACCTTGGCAGACTACAAAGATCTCTGCAGATTCGTGGCGAGAGGCTTGGGGCTTGGTGGCCTGGACACGGCGGAACAGCTGCTGAAAGATCCATAGCAGAGGCTGATAGTCACGAGAACGGAAAACCTTTGTGATGAAGCAGCCACCCCGGGCCAAAAAGTCACAAGCCAAACGCAGAGCCATCAGTGTCAAATGGGCTGTAGGATAGAGACAATTAGTTGAGGCACTGCAGCCCAGGAGGGCATGCACCCAACTCCACCATCGCCTGATCTCCAAACACCACACTCCCTGTACCTTGTGAGTAAGCATCATGGACCCAGCTAGCCCCCACATTGGGGGCCCCATCATTGAGCACAACATCAACCTTCCAGGTCTTCAGCTCCTTCCTCAGGGCCTAAAAAGAAAAGGAACTATGGAAACACAAACACAGGAATGGCCCTGGTTCAACCATTTGTCCATCCCGTTATTTGTTGAGTGCCCATTATGGGCCAAATGCTCTACCAGGCACAGGAGATAACAATAGTAAACAAAAACAGTATGTCTCTACTTTCATGGAGCTTACAGTCAGACAGTGAGTTCACAGGAAAAAACTTCACTAAAGATCTCTGCCCTTCTCCCATTCCAAACACCTTTATCCCTGACTCTAAATAAAGGTTGGAGTGGGCACTAGGAAAACCATGGGTCTTGTACAAATGTCAGGCAAGAATGTGCTCAAAGCATGGTAAATAGAAAAAAACTGCCTTTAGAGGATTTCAGGGATGTGGATGTTTCCGTATAAAGGGGGAAGGAAGAGAGAGACTCCTATTACCTGCCTACAACGTTCTGTTGTGATGTCCTCCTGGAGAGTCACCACATTGGGGAGAGGCTTGATTGGAACCAGGTCCACTCCTGGAATAAATCAGGTCAGAGTATTCTAAAGGGTTGCCTCAAGCAGGGAGGAGAGAAATACAGGACAAAGTACTTTATACACCGACCCCTTAAAACATCAAGGAGAGCTGTCCGTTACTCACCCACAATAAGGCTGGATACAGGCATAAACTTGGCAGCTACTTGCAGCCTATAAAAGGAATAGGAATTTTAAAACCTACAGCCATCCTTGTCCCCCTCTTGGCAACTGACCTCTCATCCCTGGTGTTACGTGCACTGGCCAGAACATATCATAGGCACGTATTCCAAGCCCTTTCTCTGCAGTCAAGAAAGGAAACGGCCTCCAAGGGGACCGGGATTCGGGATTCCTCTCCCGCAATGAAACTGGAAACCATCGCAGCTCAGAACACAGAAAGCGGCCACCAGGAGCAACCTGTGGCAAGTGTTACGAACCATCCCCCTGGCGCAGCACACAGGTCCAGCAAGGCTCGGGCTTTCTGCAGGAACTGAAAGCGGCGATTGAGCTGGATCAGCTTGAAAGCAGATCGGGAACGGTAACCTGGACAAAACAACCAAGTGCGCAGAGGGCTTCACCATCACCAGCAGGATTTCTCCAGCCTCGCAACCCACTACCCCTTCTGCAGGAGAGGTACACAATGGTCAGAAAGAGCAGGCGAACCGGGCAGAGATCGCTCGCTCGCTCGCACGCAGACTGAGCGAATCTGGACTCACCCGTCTCCTTCGCCAAGTGATAAAACTTGTCCCGTCGGCTCTTGCCAACTTTGCCCTTCTTGCCCATGGTGGAATGGGGTAGTATCGCTCAATCTGGGGAAAAAGTAGAAGTTGAGGACGTCTCTTTCCGGATCACCAGATTCCTCTTTCAGTTTCCCACTTCCCGCAGCAATTCCACTCCGCTCCCCTCTCCGCACACTCTACCTAGACCCACGGCCGCTTTCTCCACACTCGGAACCGCACATGTATGCAGCAAACGTACTTCCGCTTCCGCTTGCGTCCCCTGCGTCCCTGGCTCGAGGTTTTCCGCCATTTTGAGTGTGGCCATAGAGTGTTCTCGGTACTCTGTCCTCGGATTTTGTAAGTTGAAAGTTGAGACTAGGAAGGCATATTACAAGAACTACAAACAGAGTTTCAATGAGGCAACATTGAAGAGTTCTGCTCCTTCCTCTTCCCCCTCCAAAGCCCCTAAACTCTCGTAGTCGCCCCTCCCATCATGGTCCCCTTAGTTAGTGTGGTCTGGCCGCGCACCCCGCCCATTGACCCGGAACTCTTCTCTGCCTGGTCTTCAGGTCACAAGCCTCCGCTTCCGCGCCTGCGCGCAAAGGCGACTCGGATGCCGGCGGTCTCTGCTGAAGAGAGAAGATGGCGCTTGACGGGCCAGAGCAGGTATGGCGGCTGCAGTGGCGGCCCGGCAGGTTACGGGGCTGGGTGCGGAGCGAGCGTGATCTAAGTGGAGAGCGGGCCGGGGCAGGAGGGTCGGGTGGGTCAGAGGTGGCTGGAGTAGTCCAGGCTGGACGCTGCCTGCGACTGGATCTGCTGTGTCAGCGCCGCCCTCGGTGAGTCAGGGCAAGGCTGGGAGAGGAATACGCGGTAGAAGCGGAGTGAGTGAGGGGAGCGATGGGCGCGGGAACGGCCGGCCCACGGGTCGCAGGAGACGGGACGCCAGTCCTTCGGCTCCGTTCCGCTTGCTCCGTCGGCAGTAACGACACCTCGGGCTTGTAGAGCGCTTCACGCAGTGCAAAGCGCCCCCGTGTATATCATATCGCCTCTCGGTCCTCCTAAAAGCCGTACAAGGTAGGCGGCGTTCCCATTTTTTTATTTTAGTCGTGGGAAAATGGAGGGTTCCAAGGGAGGGAGGGATTAGAACCCAGATGCTGAGCCTCCGAAGTCCAAACTTTTTTTTACTACGCAAAGCTACCTGGTGTCAAACCTTATTCAAAGTGCCCTGCAAGTGGCTTTATCCCCTCGGATGTTTAACTTGTCGTTTAAGACTCACTCTGTGTCTTCAGATGGAACTGGAGGAGGGGAAGGCAGGCAGCGGACTCCGCCAATATTATCTGTCCAAGATTGAAGAACTCCAGGTGAGGACGGACTTCAGAGAGAGCTAGGAAGCGGGATGATGGGGTATGGAAACGGACTTCCACAAATCCATCTAATTCCACTGGGAGTGCAGTGGAAGAAGCTGCTGCTTCTCCTTTCTTGTTTGTTTCTTAGCTAGTAGGGTGTGTGTATCAGAAGTAAGCAATCTCTTGTTCTCCTCCAGTCCCACACCTTTGAGGGTCATAGTGTTCACAGTTTGTTAAACATTTTCAAGAGTCAAATCTTAACAGAAAAGGTACCTCTAGCCAAAGGTCAACCCTTTTGGAAGAAGCCCGAATGAAAAGGATTCTTATGAAAGGGAAACAAGCTCAGGAGATGAAATTTATCACCAAGAGGTTGGGTGAGGGTGAAGTGAGAATGTGAGGAAAGGCATCATTGAGGCATCTGGATAATGCTAATTCCATAGAGACTGAATGAAAGAAATTGGGCAACCCAGAACGCTAGCCTAAAGCGCTAAACCATAGAAAAAGGACCGTTTATGTTGTTAATGAAATGTTTATGTTTACCAGTAAGGCTTCCAGCAGTAAGGTGTGACTCTCAGTAGTAGGTATGGCTTCCAGTAGTAAGCATTACCAACAACATAAACAGTAGGCTGTTAGTGTTAACAGTGTTATGTTACAGTAGGCTGTTAGTATTTTAACTTTGGACAAGTCCATGGATTTTCAATTTCGTCCTAATCCCCTGCGTTGTTCAAGTGTCATCTGTAATATAAATTGGATGGGGGAAAGCCACAAAGAACAATTCTGAATTCCAAGTGCATTTGCAGGTATTATGTTTAGGTAACCATTTTTGAATGCTTTTTCATGTGTTTTTATTCGTTCACTTCAGTAGTCCTGAAAAGGAGCAGGGCAGCTGATGCTATACCCATGTACCATTTGGTAACAGATCTAGATTTTTTAAAATAGATTGCCTGAGCTTTACCTTGCTTTTGATTGACAGCAGCTGGGCTAGAACTCAGACTTCTCACCTAACACTCTTTCCACTAGGTGATGTTGCCTTCCTGTGAGAAATTTGGTGTTACATGAGCCAGCTGTAACTTTTCTCCATTAGATTCTGTTATTCCTGGACTAGAATTGGACAAGCAGCCTTCTTTGATGGCTGCCATAAGCTCCAGAGGGACTCTTGGAGGACAGGGCAGGGTCATTAGAATCATACTGGAGAATCTGAAACAACACACAGGTGCCCTGTGCCCTTCCCTCAGCTCATTCTGACCTGTGAGGTCTTGGCCAAGATCCTACCTCCTCCTGTCTCCTGCCCTTGAGTAATGGAATTTGTCTCTTGTCTGCCACAGCTGATAGTGAATGATAAGAGCCAAAACCTCCGGAGGCTGCAGGCACAGAGGAATGAACTAAATGCTAAAGGTGAGTGGGGAAAGATGGGAAGCCGCATGTGGGCAGTTTGTCTGAGGTCTGTCCTAACCTCCCTGCACAGTGTCTTCACAGCAGTGCTTACTGTTTTCTCCCTGTCATCTAGTAGTTTCACATGCATCTCTTTTTCCCGAGCCCCATTGTAGCCTCCTTAAATACACGAATTTTTATCTTTGGTCTTCCTTTAATAACTTAAGAATGATGCTTAGCTCATGCATGTAGAATTGGGTCCTGGAGACTCCAAAGGAGTAGCTAGGTGACCACTGTGTCTGTTTGCCATCTAGTTCGCCTATTGCGGGAGGAGCTACAGCTGCTGCAGGAACAGGGCTCCTATGTGGGGGAAGTAGTCCGGGCCATGGATAAGAAGAAAGTGTTGGTCAAGGTAAAAGCAGCATGACCCCAGGGACCAACCAGCTCAGTCTGCACTGGATTCCCAGCCCTTTGTGTGTAGCCTTGGGAGACAGGGTTCTGTGTTCTGTCAGGGTATTGTGGGATTCTCGAAGGCCTTCCTGGGTAGGGTTAGTGATTTGGTGGCTGTCAAGGAAGATCATGAGCTCTTCTTTCTTTAGGTACATCCTGAAGGCAAATTTGTTGTAGACGTGGACAAAAACATTGACATCAATGACGTGAGTGTAGCAGGTGAGGTGGTGGTGGGGTCAGCTCTTATTTCTTATTGTACCACTTCTGAAACTCACCCCCTTCACCCAGGTGACACCCAATTGCCGGGTGGCTCTAAGGAATGACAGCTACACTCTGCACAAGATCCTGCCCAACAAGGTAGACCCATTAGTGTCACTGATGATGGTAGAGAAAGTACCAGATTCGACTTATGAGATGATTGGTGGACTGGACAAACAGATCAAGGAGATCAAAGAAGTGATCGAGCTGCCTGTTAAGCATCCTGAGCTCTTCGAAGCACTGGGCATTGCTCAGCCCAAGGTGAGGAGCAGGGCTTCTCCAGGAGGGCCAAGCTGTACTTTACTACTCCTGCCCCAGCCAGCCCTACTGCAGGGGTCGGGGAGGCACCAGGATAGGCTGCATCCTTCTTGGGCTGGCCCTCCCCCTGAAGAGTGGCGGGGGAAGTGTTCTAGGGCAGTGAGGTGGGTTTTGGATATAAGCTCCAGAACAGCTCCTTGATGTTCTTTTTTTTTTTTTTTTTGGTATCCCTAACATCTAGCAAGGGATCCAGCACTCAGCACTCGGTAAATGTTCACTGAATGAGATGAGGGGTATAGCTTTCTGTCCTGAGTGCTGCTGTTCCCCTGTAGGGAGTGCTGCTGTATGGACCTCCAGGCACTGGGAAGACGCTGTTGGCCCGGGCTGTGGCTCATCATACGGACTGTACCTTTATTCGTGTCTCTGGCTCTGAATTGGTACAGAAATTCATAGGGGAAGGTAACCATGGCCAGTAACGTGAGAAGCAAGAGGTAGGGGGTTAGGGAGCTAATAAGCTCCCTAACACCAGCTCGGCCTCCACACAGGGGCAAGAATGGTGAGGGAGTTGTTTGTCATGGCACGGGAACATGCTCCATCTATCATCTTCATGGACGAAATCGACTCCATCGGCTCCTCGCGGCTGGAGGGGGGTTCTGGGGGGGACAGTGAAGTGCAGCGCACAATGCTGGAGTTGCTCAACCAACTGGATGGCTTTGAGGCCACCAAGAACATCAAGGTAAGGTGGTAGCAGCCTTGGGATGAGCCCAGGGAAGGCCTGGGTGCCACGCAGGTTGAGGAAGAGCTTAGCTGATCCTCACCCGCTTTCTCTGCTCAGGTTATCATGGCTACTAATAGGATTGATATCCTGGACTCGGCGCTGCTTCGCCCAGGGCGTATTGACAGAAAAATTGAATTCCCACCCCCCAACGAGGAGGTTTGTGATGGGCGCTGTGCAAAGTGGCTCTGGCAGTCGGGGTAGGGGTGGGGTGTGGGGCTCAGGCCTTTCCTTGCCATCTCCAGGCCCGGCTGGACATTTTGAAGATTCATTCTCGGAAGATGAACCTGACCCGCGGGATCAACCTGAGAAAAATTGCTGAGCTCATGCCAGGAGCATCAGGGGCTGAAGTGAAGGTAACTGGAGTACCCACCAAAAACAGGGCAGAGGCAGGAAGCTGTAGGCTCAAGGGCCACAGATGAGGGGCACAGCAGTGGGGCCTCAACTTCCTTTTCCTGTTCAGGGCGTGTGCACAGAAGCCGGCATGTATGCCCTGCGAGAACGGCGAGTCCATGTCACTCAGGAGGACTTTGAGATGGCAGTAGCCAAGGTATAGGCCTCCATCTTTGTGCCTTTGCTGATGGTGGCTCTGGGGCAGTGGGCTAGGGCATGCTTGCGTTCGTAACTTAACATTCATTTTCTCCCCCACCCCTAGGTCATGCAGAAGGACAGTGAGAAAAACATGTCCATCAAGAAATTATGGAAGTGAGTGGACAGCCTTTGTGTGGATCCCTCCAATAAAGCTCTGTGGGCCAAGTCCTCTAGGACTCCAGTCTGTTAATGAGGGCTGTGCTCTTCAAGGATCAGGTCCAGACACCACCAATAGATAAAAGGATTTATTTGGATCCCAGTGCCAGAAGTGGCACTCGCCAAGCCCTAGGCCCACCCTCCTCACCAAGCTCCAAAGGGCGACACCAGTCCTCCCAGCCTCCCCATTCACCTTACCCTGGCCTCCACATGCGCCCACCCATACCTCAGGCCATGCTAGAGAACTGGAGTGTCCCCTCCCCGGCCCAAGCCGCTAGAGAGGCAGCCCTCTGGCATCCCAGGAGATGATGGCGGCCAGAGCCGCTTGCATAGATTGAGGAAAGAAACAAGGAGGCACCTAACAGGGCTCCCTGAAAACCCCCAACTTACCCCTGTACAAAAAAAGTGGCTCCCACATAGAAAACTTGCTCCCAAAATAGTGCAAATACCCAAAGGAAAGAAAAAAACCAGCAGCAAGGCTGGGCTTGTAGGAATGGCAAAGAACTTTGGTTTAGAAAGGCTAGGAAGTCTGAGCTGCATCTCCTCTTCCTAGCCCAGCTCCCCACAGCCAGCTCTGACCCTCGCCCAAGAGGGGAGTCTGTAAACATGCAAACCCAGCAGCCTTTGGTTCGGAAATGTCTGTTAAAATGTCAAAGCACAGCCTCCAGCAGTCCTACTTGGGCCTGCCTGCAGGGGGGGGCACAGGAGGCTTCTGCTGAACCCAATTAAAGCCAATGCAAAAAGTATAAGGCTTTGGGGACCAAGCAACAAGGAATCCTATCACTACTTGTATAAAACTAAAGTTGGGGAGTAGAGAGTGACAGCAGACACTCCTCACCCCAGCCTACGTGTCTGCGGCCCCAGCAAGGACCCAGAGGGTGGTCTCCCTCCAGGCTCCAGGGCTGGGAAGAAAGAGATCCCTGAGCAGTTAGGTCAGGCGAATTCCCAGCACCTGTTCCAGTTCCTGCCTTCGCTGCTGCACCTGGAGAAGGGAGAGACCAAGTAGCTCAGGCCTTTACTACTCAGGGCCAAAGGAGGGAAAACAAGGCAGAGCCTCACCTTGGCAAAGATGTGCCTGCCTACTGCTTCCTGGGCCCAGGGCTGGTGGTAGAAAGCAGCTCGTCTCTCCTCCTCAGGATTTCCAATCACATCAGTGATGATCTGCAAAGAGCCAGAAGGAAAGCCATAGCATAATCCCCAGCCCTGGGCCAACCCACCCTGGGAACTGCTGTGGGTAAAAATCACCCAGAGCTTTACAAAGGAATCCCCTCGGGAAAGAGGACTACACCTTGAGGTCTCGGCGCTGGGAACGGAGCCATTCCTGGATGAAGTCCTGGGGGTCGGTGCTAAAACTGAGCATGAAATCTCTCTGGGTCTTCAGCTGGTTGATGGACTCGATGGTCTCATGAATCTGGAGAGGGTACATGTGTCAGACTCTGCCCCCAAAGCTTAAATGCAAATGACTGAGCCAGAGTTCCCATCCCATCCCCTAGGTGCTACATGTATGGAAATGCTGGACAGATCCAGCCCACTCCAATCCTGGGCCCCAGAGGAAGCTGTGGAGCCAGAGGGCCCACCTTGACATCAAGGGAAGCGATCTCCTGCTGATTGGTGGTAGAGGCCAGAAAATTGCTCATCTGGGCCTTCAGTGGGTCGTCCACCTCCACATCAATGTCATAACAGGCTGTCTTCTTCTGGTCGTTAGGGTCCACACTGCAGGCAGCACATGGGGAGGGAAGGCACATAGCTGTCTTCATCCTGCCCACCTGGGCCAAAGCTAGGGCCCATTCTCTGCACGTACTCAGGGAGCAAGAAACCTGATGCTCTCTTTGGCTTCAGTTCAAGCCAAGGGTGAATCTGCTGTTAAAAGAGCCTTCCTGTCCCCCTCCTTGCATTTACCTAATGACATGGTTGATGACAATGGGGTCCGGATGCTGCAGCAACCCCGCCAGCTTCATGGGAATCTCGGAGAAACGGAGTCGGCCACAACTGAAGATCTGGAGGAAATACCAAAGGCTCAGCGTTGCCTTGTGGGCATAGGGGAGTGGACCATTCCAGGACCAGTGAGGGCAGCAGTCTGGAGGCTGTGGCCAAGAAGTAGCCCAGCAGGCAAGGCAAGGGCTGAGAGAACAGGGGGGCTGGCATCTGGCTAACCTGGCGGAAGTAACGGTTGCAGTTGATGTATTCCCGTTCGTGCCCATCCTGCAGCTGGTTGTGCTTGATGTAAAGCCACAGGGCCTGCATGATGGCGGCCCTCGTCTGTGTGTGCACTCCCAGCAGCCTTGCCAATCGGGGGTCCAATTTGTACTGGGGAGGCTGGAGTTGGATGGAGGGGAGTCAGGATGGGTTCTTGCAGTAAAACAAAGCGGGAAAATAGGGCAGGGACAGGAAGGTTTATAGGAACCAACTCCCCTCCTGAGGGGTCCTTGTGGCCCCAGAAATGACCCCAGGGCCTCTGTCACCTGATGATCCAGCATGAGCAGGAGGGTGCACTTGACGTTGAGGTCTCCAGGCCGTTTTACCTGGAAGCCATCTGTCTCCTGGGTGGTGGGCATCCGGTGCCACTGGCAGGGAGGGGAACATGGCTTATCACCAAGGGGGTGGGCATGAACACAGGGCCTCCCAAGGGCCCTGAGGCCATTTCCCTGCCAAACCTGCATGTCAGCCTGCCTCTGCCCCAGGCCCACTCTCACCTCCACCAGGTGATTGTCAGGCCCATACAGCTCCTTGTCCAGCTCAATGACGAGGCTCTTAAAGAATGAAGAAAACTTCCTCTTCTGTTTGCTAGGCTGGAGATGGAAAGGGGTGTGAGATGGTGCTGCTGAGCTCTCAAATCTCAAGCTATGCTAAATCCCAAGAACAAGAAGCCCCATTTCAGCCCTGGAGCTCAGGGTACTGAAGATTCCTGGGGCCCTGAAGAATGGAAGCAGGACTCTGGGCAGACTGGAGGCAGGGAAATGGCGCCCTCTTGCAGCCCACGAGGGACTTCCTGGAGACACTCGACTGCCATCTGCAGGAACATTGTAATAACCACGCAAATCAACCTCCAATGGGCTTGGAGCAGTGCCCCCTCTCTATGACAGGACTTCTCTGGGAGCGCCCAAGTGTCTGGCCCAGTCTTTTTTTTTTTTTTGAGACGCAATCTCACTGTGTCACCCAGGCTAAAGTGCAGTGGTGTGATCATAATTCACTGAAGCTCGACCTCCTGGGCTCAAGCCATCCTCCTGCGTCAGCCTTACCAGTAGCTGGGACTATAGACGCATGCACCACACCCAGCTAATTTTTAAATTTTTTGTAGAGACGGGGTCTGGCTCTGCTGCTCAGGCTAGTCTCAAACTCTTTGGTCCCAGTCTTAAACCCATACAGGCCTCCTTCCCTCCAGATACCTCCCTCCCCAACTCACATCATCCAGCAGTTTTCCTTCCACTCGGAGTTCCCAGGAAGCCACCTTGTCCCCTGCTGGGGTTCCCCCAGGGGTCCCTGCAGTTCCTGCACTATCGCCTTCCGCCTTGCTGGGACTGAACGTATTGGAAATGTAGATCCGAAGCTTTCGCTTTTGCTAAAGAGAGAAAGACAATCAACTGGAAGTGGACCAAGACGTTGGGACACTGCTACGCCATCTTCTGATATGAACATTCAACAATCAATACTGAGCACCATGGGCCAGCCAGGCACCTTGTCAGGCACTGGGAATCAGAAGTAAGTAGTAAGTCCCAGTCCCAGCCTTTTTTTTTTTAGGACATGGTCTCACTCTGTCACCCAGGCTGGAGTGCAGTGGCGTGATCTCAGCTCACTTGCAACCTCTGACTCCTGGGTTCAAGCAATTCTCTTGTCTCAGCCTCCTGAGTAGCTGGGACTACAGGTGCATGCCACCATGCCCAGCTAATTTTTTTGTGTTTTTAGTAAAGATGGTGTTTCAACATGTTGGCAAGGCAAGGCTGGTCTCGAACTCCTGACCTCAGGTGATCTACCCACTTCGGCCCCCTAAAGTGCTGAGATTACAGGCATGAGCCGCCACACCCGGCCGGAACTCACCATTTTATGGGGAAAGAGATGCATCACCAACAACGCCAGCACAGTGGAACTGGTGCAATGGCAAAGCGGAGGCCTCTGGCTCACATCTTACATGATACCCAACACCCATCACGGCCCCAAAATATCCTAGTCTCCTGGAAAGCCTTCCCCACTCAGGACGGTTCTAGATTATTATTAAGGAAAGTTTCTCGGCTGGGTGCAGTGGCTCTGTCATCTTAGCACTTTGGGAGGCCGAGGCACTCAGGAGTTCAAGACCAGCCTGGGCACCATGGTGATACTAAAAATACAAAAATTAGCCAGGCGTGGTGATGGGCGTCTGTAATGCTAGTTACTCGGGAGGCTGAGGCAAGGAGAATTGCTTGAACCTGGGATGTGAAGGTTGCAGTGAGCCGAGATTGCACCACTGCACTCCAGCCTGAGTGAAAGAGCGAGACTCCATCTCAAAAAGAAAAAAGAAAATATTCTCTATGGATGGGGAAGGGGAAGGAGAAAGGAACTACCTTTATCCTCTAGTGGTTTTCAAACTTTTGACCACGACCCATAATATTTACATTTTTCAGTTATGACCCAAGGTCTGCATATCTATTTATCGGAAACAAAAATATCATGAAAGAATACCTTAACTACTATGGTAAGTACTACTGTGAAGTATTTTTAGATTTTCTACTGTCATATATTAATTTAAAACATACTGGCCCTAACACATTCAACTGAGTTCGTACTCTACTAGTGGGCTGCATCCTGCATGTGAAAAACCCAGCTCTAGCCCAACTTGCTTGGCCCCTGGAAAACAAGGGGGTGGAGGGCAAGGAAACCTGGGAAGACTAGAGGTGGTCAAGGTCACACATACTGTCAGAGGCTTTTTAATGGCCTCCTGGATCTCCATCCGCTTGCGAGCAATGGTCTGGTCCAGCTTCCGCTCAAAAGCCAAGAGATCCATGTATGCCTGAGACTCTGGGACAAGCTCCCGGATCTGGA